ATGTCCACTTAATTAAGACAGGCTGGTTTGCGATACTAAAACAATTTGGATACACACAAAACAATGTCCCACATAAATATACCTTCATTCGTCTCTTTAATTTATGTGAATTTTCAGCTAACTCTTCTTATGGTCATTAAACGATAATAACATTCTACTAATTAAAAATGTTCTTTTTAAGCAAAAATATATATGTAAATAAAAAATGTTCTTTATAAGAAATTTCTGACCATTTATTTTATATAAGTTTAAAATTTTTTTTGACTAATATCTGATATTTTAAATTTTCGTCACAATTTGATCGCAAATTTATCGATAATTAATATTTTTTACCATTTCGTTGGTCAGAATATTACCATACAAATACTCTAACGATAATCTAATCGCATTTGGGATTTGTGACTTTAAAATGGTAGTTATAGTATATATTAGTGTTCCATAATCAATAAAAAGGAATTAGAAAAAAGACAAACAAATCCGTGAAAATCTGGACACATAAAAAGAAGTTATAGAAACACAACACACGAACTACGTCTCAAATTGACAACGAGCAAAGTTTATGTTTATGTGTCTATCTATATATATATGAGCAACGTAAAATTAGATCGATACTGACAAATAAATAAAAATTAGATTCAAGATTTCTGAAGGAGAAAAGGGTCGACGACGGAGTGGAGAGAATATAAGAGTAAGAGTACGTAGAGGACGAGTGCAACGAAACCGGCAATTAAAGCTCCGGTGATCTGATCGCAAAACTTTGGAACTTGCCCGCAAATCGGAAGCCAACCTGCGTTTGCGTTTCCCTTCTTTCCCACTTGTGCCACCGCTAGAGCCGCCGATAAGCTTGACGTCAGTAGCATGGTCATCACCTTCATCGCGGTTAATGACAAAAATTAATACAACAATTAAAATTAAACATATTAATTATTTTAGCTAATCTTCTCACCTAACATAAACGATAAGAAATCTTTTTATTAAGACACGAATACTAATTAGGTATGCATTCAAGTGTTTTAACTTTCCACCCAACGATTCATCTATCCTATAAACGCAAACCAACATCAGTTATCAAAAAAAAAATATATATATATATAAATTATAATCAAGAGATCGTCTAACATTTATACATATTAAATTGTTATTACACTCGAATTGTGATTAAAAAAAAAACAAAACAGTACACTCGAAAAAAAATTCAGGTGGTCATGTAACACAAATTGAACTAATGATCAATATATGGATAACATTATATCAAAATCTTCAATTCTTGGATTACACCATTTGGACCAAAACTTAGTAAGTTACACAAAATATATATATTTTTTTCATTGCATTTTTGTTGCCAGTAAATAATGCAATTAATATGTGATGAAATTTCAATGAAGAGCTTAAAATGATACTTATTTCGGAACCTAATTTGTTAATATCCACAATTTTTTTTTTTTGATAATCTGTAAATATCCACAAATTAACAAGATAATAATATCACTTTAATAACCAAACGAACTTAAAATATAGAATGCAAATGAATTCATGCAGAGGATATAAATTGTTACCAAATCCAAGACGACGACGAATTTCCAAAGCAAACTCTCCTTTGGAAGAAACAGAACTAGAAAGCTATAAACACTCACGACAGCATTTGCGATCACAAAATACCTGCAAAACATGTTATATTAATTTTATTACCACATATTCACATAACTCATTAGATGTATAATTTACATTGATATATATGAAACTCAACTAACACACACACACAAAGAAGAACAAAATAAGAAGTTTTGTACATACTTAAACGCGGCCATATCGGTGTACTTAGCTTCAAGAGAGACGGCGAAGAAGGAAGCTCTCTCGCGGCTAGTGATCATAACGATCAAGGCGGCAAGAGCCGCACCAAACGCTGCCAATCGCAGCACAAGCCCTCCTATTCTCTTTGTCAACTTCACCATCGATCGGTCAATCAATTTAGTATTCAAATTTTTTTTATATGAAACAGAAAAATATGTGAGAACACAGAAACATCAGGGAGAATTGTAAGAACACAATCACATAAACTCAATAAATAAACTAATTGGTAATCAACCATATATATAATTGAGTGGGATGTGTTGTTAGTTGAGATTTTTCAACTATCTTCACCGTCATCGTCTCATTTTCAACACACGACTATCTTTCTCTTTGTTCTCTTTAGGACATGTGGAGCTACAAAACAAAATTTGTAAATTTTTATTGCTTCATTAGAAATACAAAATTAAATTTCAACTGCACATAATGTATATAGATAGATCCAAAATTGATGTCATTGTAATCTATATACAGTGGTTATTATTTGAAAACCTAGCCCTTAAAGTCAATTGAAAAAAAGTATATGTCATAGTTTCGAATTAAAGATGTAAAGTATGCATTGTTGAAATAACAAATGTCGTAGTTTTTATTATTATAGTTAGATTCATGAACGATGACATCATAGAAGAAACAAATATCATTTTTTCATTGAGCCGTTGTCCTAACTTATAGGTGCATCTTCGGTGATTTTGTCTGCTGGGCTCGTATTAATGTTGACATTTTTTTTCTAATATAATTGAATGTATTTGTTGTATCGATTCTTTCTTCAACAGTATATTGATAATTACCGACAACAAGTCATTTTTAGTTTTAATTTTCACATTTTATTTTAAATCTTCTTTGCTTCTGATTATCGATCTAACTAACATTGCTTTAAATGGAAAAAGTCAGTGAAAAACAAAATTAGAGGTTTGTTGTTGGACTTTTATGAGTTAATGGAAATATTAGTGTCTTGAAGTGGGTGACCTATTAAAAGTGTTTTCACATGAAGAGAATAAATTTGAACATTCTCCTACGTACGTTTAGAAATTAATCCAATTATACAAACTTAGTTTCAAAATGGTTTTATTATCTGTCGTTTTCACTTTTTTGGTTTAAAGTTTAAACCATCTACCAAGATTTAGCTGTCGTCAAGTATGAAGATCACAAACAAGCAACGGCCAATAGATTATTAACACACCTTGTGGTTAATACAGCGTATTAACACAAACGTTGCAGAAAAATCGTTTGCAGATTAATAAGAATTTTTTATTTAAAAAAAATGTTTTTATAAAAATGTTTTCAGAGTCTAGACCCAACGGTTATAAACACAAATAATGATAACACATTTTTTTGTGTGGGGATTCATCGATCACATCAATTGTTGACAACTGAGATCATCAGCGACCAATTATAGTATGAATGACTAAAATTTTATTCGTTTAGTAGTCTGATCAGCGACAAATCCCTATAACATGTTTTATAGTCGATGATGCGACTTTGTCACAAAAATTTTAAAACACATTATTGTCGTTCGTCATTTGTCGCTATGACTAGCGCGACCCAAAACCAATATTTAGTTGCGGTTTCTAGCCATTCTCAAAGGAACCACCTCGAAGACAATTATACTAAATGTGTCAGCTTTTGGAATTTATTATAGTTGGTTGAGGACTTTATAGTTTTCATGTTCTTGAAAGTTCCTTAAAAAGTAAAAGATTTTGAGAACATGCATCGTATATTTGTATCTAATCCACAATATCCGCTTTGATATCCTAAATTCCTAATGGCTAATGCTGAAATCCGAATGCTTACTCCAATTCTCTAGAGTCGAAATATAGAAATGGGCCTAATATAAGCCCAATAAAGAATATCTCAAAAGTTTACTGGGCTAACAGAATGCTAAGGGCCTGACTGGTTTAAACGCAGCGGTTGCGGGAGTTTGCGGAAGCGGGCGGTTGCGGCTTCAAGCGTTACCAAGCGTTTTGAACGACTGGTTTAGCGTTTGAAAATGGGTGCGTTTGCGGGAGTTTTATGACTGGTAAACCAGCGGGTGCGGTAGCAGTTAAATAAAAAATGACCAAAATAAATAAAAATATTACAAAAAAGGAAATAAAAACACCAATATATTATTATGATAATATTAGAAAAATTGAACATGCTTAATAGTTAAAACCATAAATAAAGAAATTTTGTAACAAGATAGTACTTTATGCATCTGGTTTAACATCAAAAATTACATCAAGTAATGGGACAAACTGTAAATAACGTTGAATTCAATTAAAAAGCAAGTGAATTTCTATTCGAGAAAATAAATCGAAAGATATATTCAATCAAAAAGCAAAGCAATACGTAATGAAAAGAATAAAAACGATGCCATGAAAAATATTCAAAAAGTTACACATGAGGTGATGAATGAATAAAAAGATATATGATACTTACGTTTGGTTCTTGATTTTCATCAGTGTGGAAGACATTGAGAGAATAGGGTTTCAGAATATTATTAGGGTTTCTGATGAGAACGTGATAAAAAGATGAAAGATATATATAAGATTAATATATATTATAATATTATAAGTAAACGTTTGATTTTTTTTTTTTTTTTTTTTTTTAATCCAACCGCTACCGCCCGCAACCGCAAACGCTTGCGGGAAGAAGCTTTTGAAATTCAGCGATTTCGAGCGGTTCGAAGCGGTACGGAGCGGTTTCTATGATTGGTACCAACCGCTAACAACCGCAACCGACCGCTAGCAACCGCTAGGAGGGTGCTAGCGGGAGAACCAATCAAGCCCTAAGTCAGAGCACGATCTTACCCAAACGTAAGAAAATACGGGTTTTTTGCATAATATTTTCCTGTTATCATATTATCTACGAGCTCAACGAATCAAATTTTTTTTTTTTTTATTATTTCCCAAAAAAGTTTCGTAACGGGACGAAAAAAAAAAAGTTTCGTAACCGTAACTAAATTGTTTTTTTGTTGAAAGAAATATTTTAACTTTATTTTTCCAAAAAATGAAAAAAGAAACATTATTTGTTGGTATAAAACATGTGCATCAGTTTCTCTTCCATAGTTTCGTTATCTTTTTAATTTCTCTATCTGGATATTATTTTACACTTGGGGATTAGGAGAATCTCTCTCGTCCTCTATCTATAGAGCCATGGCTGCTTTCACTTGTACCTCTCGTCCTCCGATTTCTCTCCGTTCCGAGACCAAAATCGCTTCTTCACCATCGGCTTCTTCTCTCTCTTCTCGGCGGATGTTCGCCGTGTTACCGGAATCAGCCGGTTTGAGAATCCGTCTTTCTCTTTCTCCGGCTTCGTTGACCTCGATTCATCATCATCCTAGGGTTTCTCGATTACGAAGAGCTATCGTCTGTGAAGCTCAGGAAACTACTACCGATAGTATGTTTTCTCACTCTTCCTTGTTCTATTTTGGTTATTAACTGTGCTAACTGATGGATTTTTGTGAACTGATTTTGTGTTATGATTGATTTGTGTGAGGGAAATTACAAGTTAGGTGCTTGAATTTGTGTTGTTGTTGTTGTTGTACGCATTTAGTAATTTGTAATCTGCTAAAAACTTGTCATTAGTTCGTGATTACTGAATCTGGAGGAAGAAGAGTTTCTTTAGGAGAGGATACGTTTGAGGAAATTCTTGCTGAAAATGAGGTTTCTGTTAGAGGAACAGTTCATGCCGATTGCGTGAAAATTGAAGAAGGGTACATTTTGGGATCTCTTCTTTTTGTGGATATTTTAGTAAGGAAATGTATCATTCTCTTTAAGTGAAGAACCTAGAAATTAGGTTGGGTACCTACCTACTCAGATATTTTCTCGATTGGATCATTCACATTTCACAATGTGACAAGAAACTGTTGAGTTATTTTGGCTCATGAGATAGCAATGCGTTGATTCTGAGATATATACCAGCAGATTGCGATTTCGGTTATCAATAGTGTTGCTTTTCTAAGATTTTAGACAGGTTAGTCCTTTACTGTGATAATGTGTTTAGTGAGACTATTAGAGATGTCTACTAGATTGTTACTCATTGATATGATTGAAGAACTACAAACTCAGTCATTGGTCTCTCATCTTTGGTGAAAACCTGAAGCATTAACCTTCACTGGAATGCTTCTTTTGAATCACACAAAATTCATTCTTTTCCCTTCATTCATGCGTGTGCAGGAAATAGTGTTTAGAGAAATTTCACTTCTAGAATAATTTTGTAAATATTATATGAACTAGATAAAACATCCCCATATACTGTATATAAGAAAAGCTTTTAGCTGACTCTCTGTTAACTCATGAAGCATATTATTCTTCTATCTTGGCTAATATATTTTGCTTTCAGTCGTGATTTTAAAAGCTTTAGCAATAAGGTGTTGATTTGGGTTATTTATCCTTGCAGTTCCAGTGGTCAATGACTCAACATGGGACTCTCTAGTTCTTAAGGCAGATGGGCCTGTATTGGTCGACTTTTGGGCACCATGGTGTGGACCTTGCAAGATGATTGACCCGCTCGTGAATGATCTAGCACAACAGTACACCGGGAAGATCAAGTTCTACAAACTAAACACTGATGAATCTCCTTCAACCCCAAGCAAGTACGGAGTTAGAAGCATCCCAACGATCATGATCTTTGTCAATGGAGAGAAGAAGGATACAATCATAGGTGCAGTGCCCAAAACCACACTCACATCTAGCATTGACAAGTTCTTGCAATGAAATTTCACTGTGAGTCTGTAAGATCTCTATCTTTCTCTCTCTCGCTCTCGTTCTCATTATCTCTGTAACTCAGCTTTCTTTATAGCTTATCTGTTTCTTCTACTGTATCTTTCTTCATCACTGAACATCTAGACCTGGATAAATAATATGGTGTCATGTCTTTATGTGATTTTTTACCGCTGGTTTGAAGATGTTTTGAGATGCGGAACTAAAGAAATCAAAGATCAATCTTGGACTAGACTAATGGAACCGCATTAAAAAAAACATTGGTGGGATCTTTATTTGGCCATGAGAGAGATCTTAAGATTGTTCGGTTCTGCAACTTTTTTGATGAACACACACACGCTAAGGTTTGTTAACATATTCTAAAACTCCTCGTAATAAAGATTGTATTCTGTGATACTCTGATGAGCGTATGTACGCAAAGCTCTTTATCGTTCCACGAGCAAAAGAGAGTACATTTGAGATATCTCTTTAATTTTGCATAAGCGAAGAAATGCACCATAATTTATGTGTACTCAATTTATGGATAAGGATACGTAAACTAGGACAAAATGAATAAAAACCGAACAAATTGACTTTTGTGGACTGATCCATAGTTCCCGACAAGATTTTGGGGTTTCTAGAGTTGTTGATCCGGTCTTGGACAAAATTCGACCCAAACTATTATGGACAATACAAAATATTGTAGAAGTTTCAAGAAGATATCACATGATGGGTTGCTGTCAAAAAATAAAAAATCATATGATGAGTTCACAAAGTTTTTAGTTTTAGATTGCCAAGAAAATATACAAATGTTCCCAAAACCTAGTTGGACTTAGTTCGGACGTATCACTAGTTAGGAAAAATTAGACTCGGCCCAATCGATCCGGCTAGATCCTAAATCAAGACCATGATTTTTTTTACACATATGCAAGCCAAAATTGGACATGCTATAGCAAAACTGATTTTCTGCCATCGGAGGTTAAAATATACTATTTTTGGGTAACCATTTGCATTCGGTATCATTTAGTTGTCGAAGAAACGAATGTTTCCATACAATCAATTAAAATGTGTGATTACAATTAACGAACTTTTTTTTTTTGGTCGGATTACAATTAACGAACTTGTATAAGGGTAGAATCACTTTCATTTTGGGTTTGATGCCTGAAAGATATTAAAAAATCAGGTATGAACGAAAGTGTAAATCGGATGAAACCTCTCTATTAGTAATGTCATTTTTTTTTAGAAGTTGCCGTCCTCGAATTGAGAACTATATATTAGGCGGAAGATAAGGTCAATATAATCAGTGGACTTTTTAAAATGCATTTTCGTGACTTTTTTGTATCAACTTTCATTATAATATTATCATTTGGACTTTGTAAATGGTTTTTGTCGTGTCCTTTTGTTTGTGTCAAACATTGGCGACCTTAAGAAGTCACGACGTACATAAATGGAACATGAGCATAATGATCAAAATTAGAACAAGTGTGAAATATTGAAACAAAGGCAAGTCAATATCGGACAATTTCGTTAAACCTAACCCCCATTTGAGGTTCTTTTCTTATTAGATAGTTTGATAACGCATAATTAAACGAAGACTTTATTGATGTTTTAAAATGAACAAGCGGACAATGTTTTAATCATTTAATTTTGATTGTCGGCCATATTCTCCTACCAAACAAGCTGCAGCTTGATTAAATAAACGAGAAAAACAATAAAAAAGATAGATATGTTTATTGCTCTCCTGATGTAATTGATATGATAGTCAATTTTGTTAGAATAAAGATGAAAGTACTTGAGGGCTTTATAATATTCTTAACAATTAATATGAATCTCGTAGTGGATCTTTAGTTAAATATCATTGTTCTCCCTTTGAAAGTTACACGTGCTTTCATCCTTAATGAAACAAATTATCGTATAGTAAAACACGATTACAAACATACTGATAGACATCCTAACTATCAAAAAGAAAGAAAGAAAAAAATATTGAGAGACATCTAAAAACAAAATTAGAAACATGAACTTGATGATCTCGTTGTCTAGTTTGACTAGAATGGAATACTGATGAATATAGTTCATTATGAGTAATAAATACTGTAATGACTATCAGAATTTAGAATCATTAAGAGAAACCAAAGACACCAAATTTTTTTCGAAGATATGAAAATGGAAATGATCCACGCCCACGCGTCAGGAGAATTAGTCCGATGATACACCAAATCCGCATAAACTAATTGTGCTTATTAGTAAAAAAAAAAACTCAAGATTCGGTTTCTAATTAACTTTAAAATAGTCGTAAATTACAAGAATAATACTAATATGTTAAAAAAAAAGAAGTCCCATAAAGCAAAAGAATGCGTGTCTCGTGACTCGTGAGGTTCTTTAATGAGAGTGATCGTTACTTGTGAAGAAGGTTCGGCAAAAGCGTGAAGAGAGCCATCTTCGATCTCTCATTAGTCCTTTTTCTCTATTCACTCACCCAATCACCGACTTCCATTGTTTCTTAATTTATTATTAGTTTAGTTTTAGTACTAGTTTATAACGTTAACACAGACATATACTCCTTCAGAAATAGTATTAATCATGTCTCTTCTGTTACCCCATTGGCCAGTGGTTTTACTTCTTCTTCATTGATTTTACTTTTTGTCAACCATCTATTTACTTCATTTTTTCTCTCAATATCCTTAACTATTGAAATGTTGGCGACAATATTTTATTGAAATTGTTTAAATTTGTTTCAACGAACGATGATCTGTTTATGTTTTCTTGATAACATTGACATATATGAGTAGATATGGCGGCGATCGTATTTAGTCAACATTCACAAAATGTTGACTTGGTTATTATGCTGCATTTATCTTTTGTTCAAATTTTTAATATATATTTTTTACTAAAAATAAAATGTGCAAACATGAATGTGGGTGAATGCAATGCACCTAAAGAAAGCGGTATGACATTTGTGACACGATCACACGACCGTTACACATAATATTGAAGGTTTTTTTTTTCTTTGCCGAACTAAATTAATTAAGAACACAATAGTTTATGTGATACAATTAATCTCTATAGAGTTTACCATTACGTATACTCACATACTCTAAATCCATTAGTGACGTATCTTAATTCTTATGAATAACTTTTTTGATATTCTTAAGTATGTCAAAAAGGTGATTACCAAAAAAAAAAAGTATGTCAAAAAGGTTTAGATAAAAAAAAAAAGAATGTCAAAGAGAGATTATATATTTTGTTTTGGATAATGTATTACTACATAAACTGATAAACATTTGGTAGTATATGGCAAATATTTCGGGTCAAAGATGCACCAAAGGAAACGAAATTTAGGATATTTATGGATAATGTAAATCTGTAAACATATCATGATATGTTTTCCAACATCGTTTTATTGCACTGAATGTTTTCACTGTATCATAGATAATAGATTGTACTGGTAAATGAATTCATGTCATGGCTGGTCTCATGTTTTGATTCTCGATTTTTTTTTTCCTTTTTAAATTCTAACTTATCAAATTAATCGCATTAAAAGGTATTTAATTAAAATATTGATGAAATTGAAAACCACTGGCCATTACTAAACCTGAGCCGTTTCATCTTTTATTTTTATGGAAGTAGAAAGTTAAAGATATACATAAAAAAAAAAAAACAGATAAGGTATCTAAAATCAGTAAATACAAAAACAATCTGACGAATCTTTCACATCGCCACGTCATGAAGATATCATTGCGTTTTCAAATTCGAGGCATAATAATTATCTTATTTTTTTTCGGATAGTATTTGCCAATAATAATAAAATAAAATCATAAAATCTGTATAAATGAAATCTCTTTCTTCTTTAGAATTACTGTTTCTCTCCGCTACAAAAACCAGATTTTCCTCTCCGCTTCTCTCTCTCTCTCTCTCGTCGGAAGTAAAACACTCTCCTTTCTCTATCTTCTGCTCAAATCATCCATCGACAGACACAGTTGCTTAGGGTTTCCCTCAAACGCCGCCGATTGTCTGGTTCGTCTCCCTAAATCTCTCGTTTTTCTCTCTCTCTTTTTATAGTTCCTATATCCGTGCCTTCGCGTGTTTGTTTACATATACCTACTTATATAAATGTGTATGTATCTGTGACTATCTATCTTCGCCGGAAATTTCTCGGTCTTTTTTTTTCTCCTTCCCTTTAGATTTGAATTGGTGTTGAATTTTCCTTGAGGTAATGAGTTTGTGGTCTCGCTGTTTCTCTAATCATTCTCTCTTTCTTGGGTTGCGATTAATTTCTCGAATTTGTAGTTTTGGTTTGCTAAATTTGATCCGACGATGATCAAGGGAATATTTTGATGATCGGTTACGAGTTTTCGGTAGACTCTAACTTTCAATCCCAAATTCTTATTTGAACTCTGCTCGTGTTGAATCAGGAGTTTTTCTTAACTTTTCGGTTTCAAAAGTTTCAAATTTTAGGGTTCTTCTCTAGGCGGCTCGATAAAGGGTTTAGATTTTTCATGATTTTTAGGACCTCATGATTTTTAGATTTTCTGGATATTTTTTAATCCTTTAAACGCTTCTGAGTAACCTAATTCTCATCTTGAAAACAAAAGGGTTATCTTTGTGTGCTTCACTTGTAAATCTTATTGACACCTATGTTTTTAAACAACTTGTTGCATTCATCTGGATCTAATGCTTCCAAACAAAACATTTTTTTCAGGATTTTGACCAATGGCCTTAGATCAATCTTTTGAAGATGCTTCTGTACTCTATGGAGAAGGTGCATTTTGTTTCAAGAGCAAGAAACCTGAACCCATCTCTGTCTCCGTTTCTTCTGATGATGGCGATGATTCGAATTTTGACTGCAATATTTGCCTAGACTCAGTGCAAGAACCCGTTGTGACTCTCTGTGGTCACCTCTTCTGCTGGCCTTGTATTCACAAATGGCTTGATGTACAGAGTTTTTCAACAAGTGATGAATACCAAAGACATAGACAGTGTCCTGTTTGTAAATCTAAAGTGTCTCATTCTACATTGGTTCCTTTGTATGGCAGAGGCCGTTGTACTACTCAGGAAGAAGGTAAAAACATTGTGCCTAAAAGACCTGTAGGACCGGTTTACAGGTTTGAAATGCCGAATTCACCTTATTCCAGTACGGATCTGCGGTTATCACAACGGGTTCATTTCAATAGCCCACAGGAAGGTTACTACCCTGTCTCAGGGGTGATGAGTTCAAACAGTTTATCATACTCTGCTGTTTTGGATCCTGTGATGGTGATGGTTGGAGAAATGGTAGCTACGAGATTGTTTGGAACACGAGTGATGGATAGGTTTGCATATCCGGACACTTACAATCTCGCAGGGACAAGCGGGCCGAGGATTAGAAGGCGGATAATGCAGGCAGATAAATCGCTGGGAAGAATCTTCTTCTTCTTCATGTGTTGTGTTGTTCTGTGTCTTCTCTTGTTTTAAGTTCTCATAGCTAGCTTGGTTCTACTGTTTACTTTCTTCAAGTGTAAGGAAGCATAGTCAAAGAAATGTACATTTGTGTTGGAAACAAATCACAGTTGCTTGCTTATGTTCAGGAGTTTGTGTTGGGTTATATTCTTGTCTATATTTTGGTCTAGGAGATACAAGCCATTTAGTTGAAAGGCCATGTTAATAGGCCTGATTTTCATGTGTGTCTAATTCAGCCCATTGGTAGAACAAGAACTAAGCTTTGCAAACGCATTATATTGGGGTATGTAAATTTGCATAGGTTTTTTATAGTTGACCTTGGATTACCATTTACGCTCTAAAGAGTAGAGACTACAACTCTGTAATCGAGGTGTTAGGTTTATTTCGGATAAAAAAATGACCGTTCCTCTGTTTCTGCATTGACTTGTTTAAACTTTCTCTGAACTGAAAATAGATTCTCTCTCTTCCGTCAAGCTTTAGCAACTCCTCTTGTACTTCTGATCTCCTTCTCCCGTGTGGTAAGTGTCTCTCCTCCCTCTTCTTGGTATCGTTGCGTCAGGGAACCTAAAACTATGTGTTTCAAACTATTTGTGGGATGATTTTAGGTTTGAGATGGACAGTTCTGAAGCAGGTCTTGATAGAATTGAGGCACAGAGGTCAACGGGTGTGTCTCATGACCAATCGAAACAAAGATACTCCTCCGTTAATCTGATAAAGGGCGGAATCTTACGCGTATTCCGTGCACTAGGTTTCCTTCAAGTCGAAGGAGAAGCAGCCACACCCCCTACGGGCGAAAATGTGCCAGAGTTCTTCACCAATATCAGATTGTCTGATCTGTTTGACCTCCCCAGTGGATTTGTGCCTATGAGTCCTGAGATTGTTATCGCAGTAAGCGCGGGGGATAAAGACTGGCTGGAGGTATTGAGAAGTTACGGTAAGCCAATGGAATGTCTAAAGAGCGATGGAGGATATTCTGTTCTTCACCTTGCTGCTGTTTGGGGTCGAGTTGAAATAGTGAAGAGCATAGTCTCTGAATGTCCATGTCTTCTTCTGGAGCAAGACTCGAGGGGTCAGCTTCCCCTTCACGTGGCGGCCCATGCCGGTCATATAGCTGTTGTTGAGGCTCTTGTTGCGACATTAACATTTGTCTCAGCTACACTTTCTGAAGAAGAGAAGGAGAGAGTGAATGTATATGTTCGCAAGAACATAAATGGAGATACTCCTCTGCACTTGGCTTTGAAAGGCCACAATGTGAAGACAGCTACTTTTCTGGTGAACACACACCAACGGGCTTCATTTCTTGCGAATAAAGATGGGATGTCTCCCTTGTATATGGCCGTCGAAGCTGGAAAGGTATCACTTGTGAAGGCAATGTTGAAAACTACAAAAAATGATGGACTTGAAGGAAGGGATTCTAACTTAAATTCACACTTGGAAGGGAGAAAATACCTTGTCCACGCGGCTTTGAAGGCCATGAAAAAAGGTTTTGCCTTGCCTTTTAACCCAGTAACAGCTGCATTTTTTTTGTTTTTCAAAGTTCTGAGACAGATCTTCGTAAGTATGGTAATATTTCATATATTCCCACTTGTTTGAGCAGATATCCTTGATGTTATTCTTAAAGAATGTCCAACTCTCGATGACGAGCTAGATGAAGAAGGAAGGACTTGTCTTTCGTTTGGAGCATCCATAGGGTTTTTTAATGGAGTACGCTACCTGTTACGCCGATCAACAAAAAATGTTTACGTCTGCAATAATGATGGATCCTTTCCGATCCACATTGCTGTAGAGAAACGTCATATTGGAGTTGTTAATGAGATTTGCAGGCGTTGTCCAAATTCAATATACCTGCTTAACAAACAAGGTCAAAACATTCTTCACATTGCATCAAAGAGGGGGAAAATTGCAAATTCGTTTTTGCGTCATTTCGCCAGAACTGAGCTGATGGAGAAGCAAGATGTGGATGGGAATACACCTCTGCACCTGGCTGCCATAAACTGGCGCCCTCGTACGATTTTTTATCTAATTTTAAATTGCAAGCCAAAATGCAGATTTATAAGGAACAATAGTGGTTTAACAGCTCTGGATATAGCCGAGTTAAATCTGCAACCTAACTACATCTTCATGGAGGTATCTCCGACTTCCCACCAGAATCCCACATTAACTATCAATTTTAAGTATCTTCCTGACTAGTTATAGGCCTCTTGTTTGGATTACAGAGGGTGACACTGATGGTGTTATTGTTCTTCTTCCCATCAAAAGATTATTCCTGGAGTCCTGTCCAGCGTCACCCCCGTCTTAAGATGGAGATGCCGATCATAATGGACAACATGGTCGAGAAAAAGATAACAAGACGATCAGATCCACCAGCTGGTGACAAAAACAAAGACTACGTCAGCACTCTTCTAGTGGTGGCAGCTCTTGTAGCAACGGTGACGTTTGCTGCTGGTTTTACAATACCAGGTGGCTTTAATAGCTCTGGTCCGAACCTGGGGAGGGCAACTCTAGGCAGTGACCGAAAACTCGTCTTTTTTATGGTATTTGACATTCTGGCAATGCAAAGCTCCATTGTAACGATAGCTACTCTAATCTGGGCGCAGTTGGGCGATCCAACACTCGTTCGTAGATCCTTAAATGTGGCATTTCCATCACTGTTTTTCGCTCTTCTCTGCATGCCGGTGGCATTCTATTGTGGCGCTCTTGTTGCATTTGCACATGTTAAGGGGCTTGTTATCTTCCTCAACATTACATTTGCGATCTTCCTCTTTCTAATGCTCTTTGTCCTTGGCCCTCACGTTTTTCTACAAATACCTGGCATTTCTGCTTACTTTGGTGGCTATTTCATATTTTTTATTATGCTTCTTGATGAAGACAGCAATGCAAAGGCGTCTTCTGGTAAGGATCTCATCCAAGAGAAAAAAACTAGCTAGAAGAGAGCATTTTTTCTAATATACATTGAAGTTGTTTGATTCAGTACTTATTATATTTGACATCTTGTTTCAGTTTCTTTCCCTGTTGTGGTTTAATTTACGTGAAGTTGTTTGATTATGTATTTGTTATATATTTGACATCTTGTTTCAGTTTCATATGCTCGTTTTTAAATACGCCTTGGATCAGAGCAGATAATACTTGGAATTTTTTTTTTAGAGTTCCTAATAGTGATGGCCTGATGGGGGTGAATATGGAGTGAAACTTATAGATCCTTTGTATTCGTTTTTTTTTTCTTACTGTGAAGGCTGATATACTGACAGCTGTATTGGAGAGTGACTCAGTTTTGGTAGACTAGATGGATGAAGATGAAAAAACTCCACTTGCCTTTGCAGCATCCATTGCATATGCTAACCAGATTTGCAAGTTCTACACAGGTTGCTTAAATTAAGAATGATTGAATGAAGATGGTTTTATCCCCATCCACTCGGCCTGCGTTCCTAGATGCACCTCAGCTCTCAAGGTGATCTTAAAACACCACCAAGACACAATAGAGATGCTTAACTCAGGGTCAAAACGTTTCTTCATGTTGCTGCTGAAAAGCGGGAATGCACAAGCTGTTGGCTATGTGCTCAGAAAATATGTCGAAGCAAGAGTAGGGTATTGGTATATGGAGACACATAAGGAACAAGCAGCAGCATCAAAACCAACAAGAAGATGTCACCAATAACCATAATGACATAACCAAGCAAAGGGAGGTGTCTTACTGCAAGATACATTAGCCATAAACGCCATTGACATTGATATAAGCGCCAAGACCTGGAAGTGAGATGTTGAAGGCTTTTGAGTTGAGAGAAAGATACTATTGTTATGATAGAGGAGTACATAGCTGATGTGTCACATACAAGAAAGACTTGGAAAGCTGTTTTCTTAGCCAAAGTGGCCATTCCCAAGTTGGGAACAGAGCCATTGTAACCACCTGGTAATGTGAATCCTGCATTAAAAGCCATGGTGGCTACAAGAGTTGCAACCAATTAACGGAAGAATATTGACTGATCTTTGTACTTTCCACCATCTTGCTTCTTGAATGATCTAACACTTTCTGAAACTGGACTGGAACCTCTTGGTGCACCAGCATTGATCAAAGCCATCCAAGTCAATCTCTGTCTACAAAGGTAATATTGGGGAAACAACTTTGTCGTATTACCTGTTGAAACACGTAGCTCCATTCAATGTTCTACTCGGAAACATCTAAAGCTGTGAAACCATTTTAGTTTTGGCATTTTTCAGATCAACTCTATGGTCCCAAGTAAACATACTCGCAACTTTAGGGTGCTAGTTTTTGGTGGCTAGACAGCAAAATAATAGCGGCTTGACAGCTCTGGATATCGCGGAACTAAATCCCAAACCCCATTACGTCTTTTGAGAGGTATTTCTAATTTCCCACTATAACATTACCTTTTCTTGATCAGTTTGTCATTTTGACCGTTGGATCTTGGTTGATAGAAACCGACTTAGAGTCTGGCTCTGTGTCTTCTCTTGTTTTAGGATTTCTTGTCGCCAGCTTAGTGATACTGTTCAGTTTTTGAAATGTGTGGAAACATAGATAAAGAAATATACATTTGTGTTAGAATCAAATCGGAGTTGCTTAAGGTTCATGAGTTTGTATATAGATTTGGGGCTGGTACAGGGCGGCTTGATTTACATAGGTCAATGCAATTTCAATAAACTCATTAGCCCATTTCCATGTGGTAATCTCAGTTTTGAGTTATAGAAACTTCACATTTAACATTTACGCCATACAAGGCTAAAACTCTTTGGTCAAGGTCTTTTGTAAAAGAGCTTCGTTCTGTTTCTGCATTGACTTGTTTAATTTTATAATTTCCTTCTGCTCCTGCACTGTTTGCAGATGATCTTTATCACTGTTTTAAATATAAATTTAGATGTCAAGTTGGAGAATAAAAAAATTCCGTCATTAACGGCGCACAGTAGCACTTACATGTTTATTTCGAAATGTTTACTCAGTCAACTTGTTCTAGCCTTCTACAAGTTGAAGGTTTTAAGTTGAAATTCGAATTGTTTCATAAAATATGAAACAAATTGCCCATTTACACCCTACAAGACCTCACTCATATCGAGATGTTAGGTTTTACTTCAGATTAAAAAAAGACTTTCACTCTGTTTCTACACTGACTTTGTTTTATAAAATGGATGAACATGGAGTCTCTCTTTCATCAAGCTTTAGCGACTCCTCCTGCATTTCTGATCTTCTTCTTCCTTCACTTAGTAAGTCTCTCTTCCCCTTCGACTTGGTATGTTTATTTTTTTTTTTGGTTATTTCAAACAATTTGTGGGATGACTTTAGGTTTGAGATGGATGTTTCTGAAGCACGTTTAAGTAGAATTGAGTCACAGAGTTCAACTGATTCGTCTCATGACCAAAGGAGACAAGGGTACTTCTCCATGAATAAGATAAACAACGGTCTTCGCTCACTCAGTTCACGAGGTTTCCTTCAAGCTAGAGGAAAAGCCATACCGCAGCCTATGGAAGACACTGAGTCTGTGTCGGAGTTCCTTATTAATCTCAAATGTTCGGATCTTTTCGATCTCCCTGGTGAATATGTGGTGATGAATGCGGAGATGCTTAGCAGACTGAGTGATGAGAACGAAGAATGGCTGGAGAAAATGAGAAGCCTTGGAACACCACTGGCATGTCTCAAGAATGATCAAGGAGATTCTGTTCTTCATCTTGCTGCTACATGGAATCATCTAGAACTAGTGAAGAGCATTGTCTCTGAATGGCCATGCCTTTTATTGGAGCCAAACTTGAAGGATCAGCTTCCATCTCATGTAGCGGCTCGTGCTGGACGTCTAGCTGTTGTTAAGGCTCTTGTTGCGTCGATAACATTTTTTTCAGCTAGACTGGCTGAAGAAGATAGGGAGATACTGAATCCATATCTTCTGAAGGACATAAATGGAGATACTGCTCTGAACTTGGCCTTGAAAGGTCGCTATAGGAAGGTTGCTCTCTGTTTGTTGAAGGCGAACAAACAAGCTTCTTTTCTTGCGAGTAAAGACGGAATATCTCCCTTGTATTTGGCAGTAGAAGCCGGTGATGTCTCACTTGTGAAAGCAATGTTGGGAAATGATGGTCCTGAAGGGAGAAGTTTTAACTTAGAAGGGAGACAATATCTTGCACACGCAGCTTTGAAGTCCATGAGTACAGGTTTGTTTTGTTTTGTACCAATTCGCAGGATCGTAAACTTTAAACATGAATGATTAACTGAATCTTCTTATGTACGGTAATTGATATTCCTACTTCTTTGAGCAGATGTCCTTGATGTTATTCTTAATAAATATCCAACTCTTGTCGATGAGAAAGATGAAGAAGGAAAATCCTGCCTTTCGTTTGGAGCATCCATGGGAAATTATAAAGGAGTATGCAACCTGTTAGACCGATCAACATCAAGTGCCTTTGAATGCAACGATGATGGATCATTTCCAATCCATGTGGCAGTAGAGAAAGGTCATATTGAAGTTGTCAAAGAGATTTTAAAACGTTGTCCATACTCAAAGCACTTGCTTAACAAAAAAGGTCAGAACATTCTTCACATTGCAGCTGAAAGTGGGAAGTTTAAAATTCTACGCCACTTGACGAGAAATGAACAAACAAACCTTCTAGCTTCTGAGCAAGATGTGGATGGGAATACACCTCTACATCTAGCAACCATAAAGTGGCGCCCTCGAGCTGTTTGTGAGCTTGCAGGGAAAAAAAACCTGTTGATACAGAACAATAGGGGCTTGACAGCTCTAGATATTGCCGAGTCAAAACTGAAACCCCACTACATCTATCGAGAGGTATGTCTAATTTACTTATTTTTCTATTCCCGGATCGGTTATTTACAGCTTGTGACCCTTGAGTTTGGATTACAGAGGTATACACTGCTGGTCTTAGTAGAAGCTCACTTCCAGAACGATCCTAGATGCAGGCATACCATGTCGCCAACAAGACCAATAACGCCTAAGGGGGGAGGAAACAAAGATTACGTCAACGCTCTTCTAGTAGTGGCAGCTCTTATAGCCACCGTGACGTTTACTGCTGGTTTTACTTTACCAGGTGGCTTTAAAAGTTCTACTCCGAACTTGGGCATGGCAAATCTAGCAACTAACCCTCGCCTCCTCCTTTTCCTGCTATATGACATTTTAGCACTGGAAACCTCATTTGTAGCTGTAGTTTCTCTCATATTGGCGCAATTAGGTGATCCTGCACTATATCAAAGTACCGTAAGGGTGGCCATGGCATTAGTGTGTATTTCTATATATTTCATGAGCATAGCATTCTTCTTCGCCATGGTTATTGCAGCTGGGAATGTTATATGGCTTATTGTCTTCTTTATTATTTTAATTTTGCCCTTCATAGGTGTGATTGTTTCAATATTTTACCCTCACTTCGTCCTACATAATCCTGGTCCTCCTGCTATGGTTAGCAAGTATTTAGTTTCTCGTGTAGGTATAGTTGATGACGATGACCAAAGGTATCAGTCCTCTGCGGACAAGTCTGTGAATATCTCTGGCAATGATCACATCGAAATGCCAGGCACTAGTTCGGAAAGGGAATGGTTTTGATGCAGGGCGTCCTCCTATATCCTATGTTATTTGGGTTTTCTTATTCATTTGGTGTACGCTTTTCTTTATCTTGGATAATTTGGCTTGTCTTTTTCTTCTTCTTCGGATTAGCTTTTACGTGAGATAGTTCAATAGCTCTAGCTTTGGACAAATGCATATTTCTCAATTTATTTGAAATTTTCTATCTCGTTTTGGTATCTTTCCTTATCGAGATTGATTTGTTTGTCTCACTTACAAAGATTTTGAAGACTCTAAATGGTTAACGGTTATAAGAGCATGATTAACGGTTAAGAACCAAATGGTTCTAAACTTTATATCTTAGCATTAATAAATGATTTTGTGAGTTAAGAAGAGAAAGAAAATATCTTAAGAAAAAGGAGGTCCAATGGTTAAGAAGAAAGATAGTGGGCATGATTGGTAACAGCTGTAACTTTACATTTTTTGCTATAGAAATATGACTGTAGGTTTATTTGCTGTGGCGGTAGATTTTATTGCTGTAGTATTTTGGCTGTAGAATTTAAAATTTTGGAAAGTTGAAAATTATGTGCTTTAGAAAAAAAAACTTTCTACAGCCAAAAAAATGAATTAAAGAAATATTTTAGCTGTGAAAAAAAAAAGGAAAGCCAAAGCTTCTAAAGCTTGATTGGATGAATTTCAAATCTTTAGAAATTTTTTTGCTTTGTAAAGACTCTAAAGCACTTGCCAATCAGGCCCAGTATCTTAGGGAAAAAATGTCGGAAAAAAATGAAGCAACTGACTTTTTTTCTTGTTTTGTTTTTTCTTCCCCCAACTCATATCGGGACACGTGTGTACTTCTTAACATAAGAAAAATATCTTAGTTAAGATATATATCTTAGTTGGTTTGATTAATTATAATAGTTTTTAATGTTAAGATTTGGCTAAGATATACCGATATTCATGCTCTAACGACTCTAAAATTTTAATATAGTACAATTACTCGAAAACACGATAGAAGATTCAAAATAAGATTTGAAATAGGATTTAAAACCCATGGCATATCAACAAAAACATAAATAAACACAGTCATCAAACCAAACCGGTAACTTCCATCAGAAGTTACTCAAAAGTCAAAACCAAACCCCATTTATGAAGCTTCATAAACTTACTAATACGGTGCCGTTTGAAAGACTGAGATGAAACTGGGCCATTTATGTAGGCCCAATTTTAAACACCGGGACTTTTTGTCTTGTTTGAGCCTCTACGTTGTTCAAATTAAGGGGGTGTTATTGGTTCCTAATTTACATGGAATTTTGATGACTTTAATAAAATCATATAAAGTAAACAAATGAAAGATTTTAAACTATTGTTAGAGAGTTTTTGAGAATTTTATATAATCTTGTTGATTAGTATGTCATAATCTTGTAAAGTTTTCCAAATAATCTCTCTATTTTGATGATACTTTTCATGACTTTGTTTTGTGAAGAAAAGTGTAGAAAGTCGTAAACCAATAACATAATAATTTAATTCATTAACAATCATAGATTCTTTTGTTGTAATTGAATAACACAAAACTTTTAATGACTTTATAAGAGTATGGATCCAATAACTCCAGATTTATGAAGATTTTAGATTACTTTTTACAAATCTTAAACTAATAACACCAAACTTTTAAAAAATCTTGATTGAATAACAACAGATTCTACATAACATTTAAAGTCACTAAAAATTTATTTAAATCACAAACCAATAACACCCCCTAAATCGGCGTCGCGATTTAAAACAAAATAAAATCGGTGGTGCGATTGCGACAAAAGGCGACGGAGACGGCTGATCTGATTTCTGCGACCGCCGGGTACAGCTGTGTGGCTCTCTTGATCTGCAAATCTACACTGTAACGAGGCTTCATACAGGTTCTATAAAACGCGTCGTTTATATAAAAAGCTTTGATTGAAACTGGGCCATTTGTAAACTTTAAAAGCTTTGATTGAAACTGGGCCATTTGTAAACTTTATAGGCCCAGACACACATTGTCGTTGCGACTTTAAACTTGTGTGTGACAAAACGTCGTTCAAATTAAATCGGCGGTGCGACAAAACGCGGCGGAGACGGCTAATCGGATTTATGTGGCTGTCGAAATATTCCAGATGTTTCGGCGTCCCTCATCATCATCGGTAAAATGGTGGAACTGCTCTTTGACAGACTGTATTCACGTAGTAAAGGGCAACAATCAAAATCAGAAATCGAAGAGAAAAAAAAGAGACGCGGAAACGCAGCTGGAGGATTGAAGAGGGCTTTGATATAGTGTGCACTACTCTTAACATCGTTAATTGGATAATATATGATGGACCAACCGACAAAAGATCGGTCTTGTCGCCTTTGGTTGACCTAAAAGAAAAAAAAAGAGGAGAAAGACAGAAAAGTCAGGGTTTTTGATAGCTAATTAGCCTTTAAGGGTAATGGAATTTTTGGATAGTAGCTTGGAGAGATGTTGACTTGGGATAAGATAAGAGTTCTGCTTCTGTAAACTTACTCGTAGTTGACATTAGAAGTTGAGGAAACCCATAAGTCGTTGGATATATATTAGTATCCCACTGAAATGCTTTCTTCTTTTTGATCATGTCTTATTATGGTAGACTTGAAAAAACCTTACTCTTTTCTGATGGGAAAGGAAAAACAAGGAAGGTACGCGATTCTTTTCCTTTTAATTGACCATTTCTTCTTCCTTGATGGACAATATTAAAATCTGAAGACCTCTATTTCTGTAGATACTACCAATCAATATCTCAAGCATTGTGGAGTTGGTTCTGCAAGCATTGGGAAATATTGAAGTTGGGGAAAGCCTTCCCTGAGCTCTCGAGCATCAAGTCTTTGTTTCGGCTGAGGAAAAAGGTGAGAAACCTCACGCCTAAGTATTACTCTGTTTTCACTTTTTTCTTCCTCTACGGTTCATGCAACTATGTTATACAATTACCTTGCGGTTCAGTCATTAATCAAGCGGCTGTTTTGATCAGGATACATATTCATTTGTTAGTTAGTTATATAGTTTAGTGTCAGCTTGGTTGAAATCACAAGACATCTCTTTCTTCTTCATAACCACAGTATTAGCATCACATCATTTTCATGTACTTCTGCAATTGGTTTCAAAGTTAAAAACGGATAGTTTTGAGCCACTTGACAGTGAATTATTATTACATGAACTATTTCTTGACTCGATCATTTAGGAATATTACAAATTTAAAATCTTTGATTCTCAATGTGCTAAGCATATTTGTTTCTACTTCATCAATTCATCATCGTATGTAGTTTTTGTTTTGTTTCATTCCTTATTTTTCAGGTGCCGAGTTATCAATGGGAAGGTCTGATCTGGACTTTGACCGTCGGAAGAAACACATAAGCTCTCGAATGTTTTATGCAGACGAAACCGGGCGTATGCACTCTCTCGATTTGTCAACTCTCTTCAATGACACCACTGAAACTGTGCCATTGGGTCCAAAGACCATCGCCGCAGTAAGAGCAGGTGATGAAACTTACCTGAGAGATATGAAAATTGATGTTAAGCTTGCTCTAAGCTCAGTGAACGATCATGGGAATACAATGCTTCATCTTGCTGCCGCCGCGGGTCACACCAGCTTAGTGTGTTATATACTCTATGCATACCCAGCTCTGCTTATGAAGTCAAATTCGATGGGCGAAGTTGCTCTCCATGTTGCAGCAGGTGCAGGCCATCTTGCTGTTGTTGAGGCTCTGGTTAGTTTTATTAAAGGTATATCTTGTAATAAGCCTGGTGTTGCCAAAAAGATATACTTTGCCAAGGACAGACACCAAGACAATGCTTTACATGTTGCCTTAAAAAGAAAACATGTGAAGGTGGCTTCCTGTTTGGTCTGTGCAGAGCAAGGTTTGTCTTTTGTAGCAAACAACGATGGGTTTTCTCCCTTGTATTTAGCTGTTGAAGCTGGACAGGTTGATCTTGCAAAGCAAATGTGGCAACATTCAAATAATGGATCAAGTAGCACATCTACTTTATCTTCAAAGATTGGAGGAAGATCCATAGTACATGGGGCGATGAAGGCTAGGAGAAAAGGTTCGTTCTTTCGACAAACCTTAACTAGCTTTAAGTATCTTGTTCAAGTTATTTATAATGCCAAATAACCTTTTTAGCAGATATCCTTGAGGCTATACTTAGTGAAGATGCAGGTCTTATTAACTTTAGAGATGAAGGAAGGACTTGTTTTTCTTTTGGAGCATCCTTAGGGTATTATGAAGGGTTTTGCTATCTGTTAGACAAAGCTCTAGACAGTGTTTATGTCAGCGATGATGATGGGTCCTTTCCAATTCATATGGCCGTGAAGTATGGTCATGTCAAAATTCTCAAGGCAATTCTTAAACGTTGTCCAGACGCACTTGAGTTGCTCGACAGAGACAATCAAAATGTTCTTCATGTCGCAGCAAAGAATGGAAAACTCGAAGTCCTCAAGTTTATCCTAAGATGTTGTAAGGATAAAATCAAGGAAAAGTTGATTAATGAAGAAGATGCGAATGGTAACACACCATTGCATTTGGCCACCAAAAACTGGCACCCTAAAGTTGTAAGTATGCTCACTTGGGACAATAGAGTTGACCTGAAAACGCTGAACCATAACGGTCTCACAGCTCTAGATGTCGCCGAGGAAAACATGGATTCCAGCTACACCTTTTTTGAGGTATGGTGTGTTACTTTTCATTATAAACTGGTAATGCTTATGTATGTACTTTATATAATTTCTTCACTCTGGGGATACTACAGAGGTTGACTTGGATGGCTTTGATATCTGCTAGGTGCACCAAGAGGTCCCAAATTGATAATATCAACTCCAGTATCACAAAATCCAGATGGTGGGAAGTACAAAGATCGGGTCAATACACTTCTGTTGGTGGCCACTCTTGTAGCCACTATGACTTTCACTGCAGGGTTTACACTACCAGGGGGTTACAATGGTTCTGTTCCCAACTTGGGAATGGCAACATTGGCCAATAAAACAGCGTTCCAAGTGTTTCTGGTATTCGACACCTTGGCGATGTACTGTTCTATCATAACAATAGTTGCTCTCATTTGGGCGCAACTGGGCGATCTTTCTCTCATAATGAAAGCCTTCAACCTTGCGTTGCCACTTCTCGGACTTGCGCTTACATCCATGTCGATAGCTTTTATGGCTGGCACGTATGCTGCAGTAAGCCACCTCCCATTGCTTGCCTATTTGATATTGGGCATCGGCTTGATCTTCCTCTTGGTTTTACTGCTGATCATTATTCCATATGTGTCCCCACATTCTTCTACCCAACCCTTTCTTAGACACATCTTTTACTGCCCCTATTTCCTTATGCTTTTGGCCGCTGGTGACAACAGAAACAAGTACTGAAAGTATCCGAGGTAAATCACTACTCAGCTTTTTGTTTTACCAAAAAAAAAATGTGTCATGTAAGTTGCGTCAGATGTCTTGAATAAACGTGAGAATTTTGCATTTTCGCCAGCTTATACTTGGTTTTGAGGCAGCCTCTATGATTCTGGCTTGCCATGCTTTCTAATCTTGAGCTCTGTTTTTTAATGGTCTTTTGGCTCCCAAGTATATTTATTCTAGAATGACTATCAATTGTCAGCACATGGTCTGTGGTTATGTAAAACCAATACATGTTTCTCGCGGATCTGTGGAAACACTTTGTTTAGAGACTCTAACCTTGTGGGACTTGGTTAGCATACGACATGTTGTTGATTCAATGGCTGTTTGACATAATTTGCTTTCCATGTTGGTTCATGACTCAGTCTCTGTTTTGACCTTTTTCCTCTAATTATTTGGGATTAGTGCAAGACTTTCCAATTCTATATCTAAACTTTCCAATTCTATATCTAAAAGGTGGCATTCACACTCATAGCTACTTCTCCGGGTGCTGCCACATTGCTTGAAAGTTTGGAACACTAAAGGGATTATAGAAATAAACGAAGATATATTTTCTATATGCGCCAGTCTTTAGCAGATCATTTCGCATTTAATATGTTTTTCTCTCCTTCTTCTTTGTATGGTTGATGGGTTGTCTGTTTTTTTCTTATGGTGAACTGATACTTGTCTTTTCGAAAACTTTCTGCGAGGGTTTTTGAATGGATTTTGTCTGAAGTTCATCTAGATACCATTGAGACGCGTGTGTCTCATGACCAACAGAGAAGAAGGTATTTCCCCATTGAATCTGATAAACAATAGCACATGCATTCGACATTTAAGCTGTTTCCCTCGGTTTGGAGAAAGCATTGAATATGTGCCAGAGTTCCTTACCAATCTTAGAATTTCGGATCTTTTCAATCTCCCTGGTGAATGTCTTATAATGAACCAATGTACTTCGTTTCTTGCGAATAAAGATGGAATATCTTCCTCGTATTTGGCAGTAGAAGCTTGTAATGTCTCACTTGTGACGGCAATGTTGATACTACATGCAATGATGGACTTGGAGGGAGAAAGTCTAACTCTGATTCAGTTAGAAGGTGAAATTTTCTTGTACACGTGGCTTTGAAGGCCAAGAATACATGTTTGTTTTGCTTCTTACCATTAGCTGCTCTGTTTATATATTAATTCAACTAGTCTTGAGATGGAAGACTACATCTTCGCATGTGGGCTAATAATTTATGCGGACGTCTTTCGCGTTATTAGCATTTTCAATTCACCTCTAATTTTGTCTCTGACCTCTGAAATAAAGATTGATATTTCTTCCTTTATAATAGAGTTAAACTTTTTAATTTGCAAAGTGATCTTTTTACTTTTAATTTTCATTTATTTATGATTTAAAATAAATAAAATAAATCTTTTACGTTGATTTTAGAGATTTGGGTATAATTATCTATTCTAAAAATTGAGGCTATTATTTGCAAAAGAGAAATTATATAAAGTTTTATAAATAGGTTAATTTGTAAATTTTATAAATAAAAGATATTCTTTCTAATATAAAAGTTGAACCAATTTGGAATATTTCTTTTTAGAGAAAAAAATAGAGAGATACATTAGAGTAAAAATCACATCTATTATAAAGTTTCTCTATTTTATATATGCAAAAATAAAGAAATACGTTGGAGACGCGGTCTAGAAAATCCAAGTCTTGGGAATGAACAGTGCCGTCCCTGAAAAATATTGGGCCAAAGCATTAAAAAAAAAATATTTGCTGGCTTTATATATAAATCTTAAACATTGATACCAAAATCTTAAGATTTCAAGAAAATAAAGCCTATTTTGGGGGCCAAATTTTACAACAAAATATGGGGCTAAAGCCATTGTTTCAATTGCCGTGCTGAGGGCCGGCCCTGGGAATGAACATGATGAAGAAGGAATGACTTGTGTTTCATTTGGAACATCCATAGGGTTTTATGAAGGAGTATGCAACCTCGTAAGTAATAGTTCCTTTCCACCTCGGCAGCATCTCGGCTTAAATCTCGCCTCAATTTGCTCTGCCAATTATGTTGCTGGTTTGAGTAGTTGGGGCTACAGTTTCACGTTGTCACTTTTCCCAACAAAATGCCAATTTAAAACTTTATTAAGAGAGGACGACTTTAAAAACTTGACATAAAACTTAATGAGTTAGTAACTGATCACTGATCAGGGATTTTTTTTTTTTTTTGGGTCAAATTTGTGGGTAAAGAAGATAAAGAACTACCACCATTAAATGATTAAAGAAAGACCTTCCATAAACCCAAAACCTTTTGAATATTTCCTCTAATTATTTCTGATTAAAGAAAGACCTTCCGTAAACAATGTACGCCTTTGATTATCAGATTAATCTAAGTACACAACAGTGAGGTCTCGGCAAACATATGGCGTTAAAGAGTTATAAATGGACGAACTTGTAGTCTCTCTCCCATGTCAAGTATTTCTTATTTCCTTCTTCCACTTGGTAAGTCTCTGTCTGTCTGCTCCCTCTTCTTGGTATCGTTGACTTTTGTTTTTTGGACGGAGAACTTAAATCTGTGTTTTCAAACAATTTATGTGATGATTTTAGGTTTAAGATGGAAAATTCTGAAGCACGTTGTCTAGATAGAATTGAGGCACAGTGGTCAACAGAGGACCAGCAGAAAGGAAGATACTTCCCCATTGATCTGATAAACAAAGGCGTACATTGTTTACGAGGTTTCCTTCGATGCGGAGAAGATGGTACCATGCCACCTACGGGAGACACCGAACCCTTGCCAAAGTTGTCGGATCTTGACAACCGCCACAATGGATCTGAGCCGATGAATTCAGAGATCTCAAGCGCCATGCGAGCCGGGAACAGAGATTTTCTGGAGAAGATGAAAAGCTACGATACACCAATTTCGTGGTTCAAGAACAACAAAGGAGATTCCATTCTTCACCTTGCTGCTGCTTTTGGTCACCTTGAGCTAGTAAAGAGCATAATCTCTAAATGCCCATCTCTTTTGTTGGAGCCAAATTTGAAGGACCAGCTTCCGCTTCATGTGGCGGCTCGTGCTAGCCATTCAGAAGTTGTTAAGGCTCTTGTAGCGTCGGTAACATTTTTATCAGATAGACTGGCTGAAGAAAATAGGGAGAGGCTGAATCCATATGTTCTAAAGGACAAAGATGGAGATACTGCTCTGCACTTAGCCTTGAAAGATCTCCATATAAAAACAAAGGTATTGCATATAACAAGATCTTTTTTTTTTTTGGGAGATTTTGGGTTTACTAGGAGTTTATGGCATAAGAATTTAAGAAAACAAGACCAACATAAGAATAACAGGATATAGTTTTTGTCCTAACTTTTGATGTATCAGCAACAATCCATAAACCTAGCTAGGATCCCTAATTCTCTATCTGTTCTGCAGGTTATACGGCTACGTCATAACAAATCCATGTCAGTTTCTGCTGAAACACACCTGATGGAGACAGCTGCTTGTCTAGTCAATGCGAACCAAGATGTTTCGTTTCTTGCGAATAAAGATGAAATATCCCCCTTGTATTTGGCAGTTGAAGCTGGTAATGTATCACTTGTGAACGCAATGTTGAACAGCCCTGGTAGTGACAATCAAGGCGAAACCTTTAACTTAGCCACGCGATTGAAAGGGAGGAAATCGCTTGTGCACGCAGCTCTAAAGACCAAAAATACAGGTGTGTTTCAAAATTAAGTTGTTCAGATTTGTTCCTCGAAGAACCTAATCGGAGTTCCTACTTGTTTGGGCAGATATTCTTGATGTTATTCTCAATAAAGACCCAAGTCTTGTCAAAGAGCGAGACGAAGAAGGACGAACTTGTCTTTCAGTTGGAGCATCTGTAGGGTTTAATAAAGGCATATGCAAGCTGTTAGATACAACAACGTCAAGCATCTTTGATTGCGACGATGATGGTTCCTTTCCCATCCATAAGGCAGTGGAGAAAGGTCATAAGGATGTTGTTAAAGAGCTTCTAAAACGTTTTCCGGATTCAGTAGAGCAGCTTAACAAAGAAGGTCAAAACATAATTCACATCGCAGCAAAGAGTGGAAAATCTAGATCGTTTATTATGCATCATATCAATAAAGTCGATACAAAGAAGCATCTGCTGGAGGAGCAAGATGTGGATGGGAATACACCTTTGCACCTGGCCACCATTAATTGGCGCCCTAGATATGTTGGTATGCTTAGTAATTATAAAAAAGTCCGGGATATACAGAACTCTGCTGGCTTGAGACCTCTGGATATCGCCGAGATAAATCTGCAATCTGACTATGTTTTTCGAGAGGTATGACATATCTCTTTCTATACATACTGTCTTTTTGTTCCAATATCATACCACATAAATTTTATTGACTTGTTTCCATCTTTCTGGGGGACAATAGAGAATGACTTTGATGGTCTTGCTAGGCGTTTACAATCTGAGACAGAGAGGTATATCTTTGCTACCAACGAGTGGGATGACACTAAGAAGTAGATCAGAGAATCTAGGAGGTGGTGGTGAAAAATACAAAGACCGTGTCAACATTCTTCTACTGGTGGCAGCTCTTGTAGCCACCATGACGTTTGCTGCAGGTTTTACAATGCCAGGTGGCTTTAACAGCTCTGCTCCAAACGCTGGCATGGCCATTTTGGTCGATGAACTCTCAGCATTTATTGTTGCAGACACTATTGCAATGTTTACCTCAGTTGTAGCTATAGTTGCTCTTATCTGGGCACAGTTAGGAGATCGAGAACTCGCGCATAGAGCATTTCATTTGGCTTTACCAGCACTCTTCTTTGCTCTGCTCTTCATGTCTGTTGCATTCGTTTTTGGCGTGATGGCTACAACAAAGCATAACATCGGGCTTACACGCTTCATGAGCATTGTATTTGACATCTTCTTTTTAGTGACCGTAGCCCTCCTTACCCCGTACGTGATCCCGCAGGTTTACGGTCTTCCTATTATTGGAATTGCGACTTCTTTTTATCTTAATATTCTATTGCTGTTTGTTAATGAAGATGATGAAAAACATTGCACCACCGGCTCTTGTCACACGTGTGTGAAGAGTGTGGGGTCCGTGGGATCGTCAAGCGGGGGTCAATTGGAAAAGTCGAAAGTGCTTTAAGTTCCAAAACACCAGTATCTCAGTTGTTGACATAAATTAACTTTCCTTATTTGATCACCCTAGTTTTGGCGTTTACTTTCCTCGTTGTAATATTTAGTGTTAATGGTTTTTTTGGGTGAGTTTGAAAATCAGTACGTTTTGGAGACTCCATATGAGAAGTAGTCAGTTCACTATTCGATAATAGAGAAATACCCTGTTTTCAATGTTTGTGTAATAAAAAAACGTGAGAGATAGAGTGATTTGTGGGGTAGACAGCTATCGAGTGAAATTACGGAAAAAGACTTTTCTCATGTTATGAGAAAAGACTCCATCGGAGAAATCCGGAAAACCCCAACTTAGCTTTGGGTACTAAAGCAGCCCATTAGGATAACGTCATAAGTCATAATATTAACGACAATCTCGTGGACCACGTATAGAGATGAGTTTATAGCGAATTGTTTTATCAATGATGCTCTCTAGGGTTAATGTTTATTTTATTCCATTGATGATGAACCTTTGCAATTAGTTGTTCCGTTGTTCTGTTTTTTTTTCTTCACAAGAGAGGTAAATGATATTCTTTTGTCGTTTGTTAATGAGGACGACATGATGATGGATAACTTAAGATCTCAAATTGAGGTGGAGTTTGTGGGATGTTCCCCTGCAAAATCAGGCCCCTTTTATTTGTTGAAATGATTCTTGCTTGGAACGTGCTTTAACCTGCAAAAAAAAAAAAAAAAAAAAAAACCTGCAAATCAATCTTACGAAACGGCGTCGTTGAGATAAAGGCTTTATTAAACTGGGCCCATTTCTGTTGACCTTTATAAGCCCAATTGTGAACACCTCTTTGATTTCGACTTCCAATTTTCAGCTGTCCAGATTAAATGGACGGTGCGGCGGAGACAGCTAATCGGAATTCTGTGGCCGTCGGATACCGCCGTATAATTTTACACATGGTCCGGCATGGCTCATCATTCGTCGCACTGCTCTCCTTTCCCCGACATTTAAATTCGACATTTGTTATAATGATGGAACTGCGAATCACGTAAAGGTCAAGATTCAAAATCAGAAATCGAAGCGAAAAAGGAAGCAGAAAAGTCTAGGTTTTTGATTGCCACTAGCCTATGTAGGACCGCGAAATCCCGATTTGAAAACAGAGAGAAATAACTTTTAGAAAACGATTTGGAAAGACGATTTAGAAAACTCGTGAAGGCGAGATATGATATCTCTTTCCGTAATTCAAACTAGCTCCCGCAGATGAGACGGTTTTATGAGCAGCGGACCGCATGATACAATCACAGTGAGACCGTTATCGCTTCACTCGATAGCGGAATCTACGAACTTGATATAAACGATATACTCTTGAGACTTACTTTGAGAAGAAAGAGAGAGGGAGAGAGTTGTGTGGTTGCGTTTTTGCGAAGAGCAAGTGATCGAAATGAGTGTGAGGAGGCTTGCTTTTATAGCAAGGAGGAGAGGACGGTGCGATCCGAAAATCCAGGCTCGTGCGCGAGGATCTCGGGAAGTTGAGACGCGAGGTGGAGAGGCGGAAGACTCGGCCCAGATCGAGATCGTGGGAGAGAAATCCGGAGCTGTTACGCGAGCTCGATTTCGAAAAATGAATATTCGAATATGCCTTTTAATTATGCAAGTTTGAATTCGTTAATGGGCTTTCGATTTGGGCCAAAACTTATGTAGGAAATGTTGAAAAACCTCATAAGTATTTTCTCCAAAAAGAGTCCAAGCCCAAGCTCGGCACAGCGGCGGCGCGCGCGCGTGGGTCGTGTTGCATAATGTGCATGTATCTCCTTCACCATAGTCTCCCTTTCCCAATAGCTAGTGAACCATGCCACATATGTATCACTATATATACTAGAGGGAAATTTTCCAAACTTCCAAAGTGGGACAAAATTATATTTGTGATTTATAAGCTTTGAAGCTTCCCACTTTGGACCTCAATTACTCATTCAATATAACTTCAATTTTTACATGTAAATACACTATCTTATAGTGCTCATTACAAGGAATCCAAAGGTTCCATTATCCGGTCATTCCGATGACTGACGTCACCGGAAAGTTGGCCGGAGCCACTTGTGTAAAAAATGAGTTCCAACAGCCTATTATAACGACCTCTATTTTCAAAGACTTCTGTTTAGAGTAATGGAATTTTTGAATGAAGCATGGAGAGATGTTTATTTGGTACACACATACATATGTCCTGCTTCAAGAAACCAGTAAGTCGTTGGATATTTATTATCCATTGAATGCTTTCTTCTTTTTGGATCATGCCTAAGCCTTCTTGTTCTATGAATACTAATCATCAAGGGGGGTGGGGTTGATTTTTGTAAGCATTGGCAAATTTTGAAGTTGGGGAAAGCCTCTCCTGAGCTCTTGGACATCAAGACGTTGCTTCGGTAAGGTGAGAAACCTCAAAGCTTGAATAAATGAATTAAAACGTCTGAATAATTCACTAAGTAGTATAGTATAATCGTTCCTGCCTTGTATCAGCTTGATCACTCATTCACTCTGTTTTGTGGTTTTCATGTACTCTTTTCTGTTTGTCAAGATACTTCACTGTTCAGTTTCATATGCATTAAAAGGTTTTCGGAGTGGCAAGGGAATCTGGTATCTGTATGAATAGCTACTTGGTATCAGCTTCGTCAGTTTATATCGACACATCCTTAATATATAATATCTTTTTATCAGACTTTTGGTTTGTTTCCAACTTATACCTGGTTTTGAGGCAGGCTCTGTTCTTGGCTTGCCATTTTTGTAACTTGAGCTCTGTTTTTTAGAGGTGGCTGAGCAAAATAGCATTTCAGGACATGATCAGTGGTTATGTAAGACGGATTGATGTTTCTTCTGAATGTACGAATCAGTGGACTCTTACTTGGTGTGGGACATGTTGGCTTAGTGAATTTCTGAAGTCAAAAGTCATGTATTCATACTTGGACTGGTTTAAAGGCTTGATTGAGATGCCAAATTTACCTACCCTATTCAACCTATTTTTCAAAGTCATGAATTCATACTTGGTCAAGACTACGTGACATTTCTAGACCTTTCTACATGATGGTGACCAGCCTTCATGCCAGTCCTGAAATTTCTAAGTGAGACCTTTCTTTGTGATGGTGACTAGCCTATGCCAGTCCTGGTTTATGTAAAGCAAGCTGTAGGTGTTACTGGTGTCAAGGGTCAATCATCTGTAGTCTACTTCTATCTTCCTTCTTCTTGCTAATGTATGAGATTGGTCTGCCTTTTTAACCGTGAAACTGAAACCTTTTTTTGTTTTAATAACAGTTTGCGCAACAACTTACATCGACTGTTGTGAAGACGCATTAAAACAATCAAAGCAGAGAGAGCATCAATGAGTGTGTTTGTTGAGCAACGGAGACCACAAGATGCTTCCCCATGACTCTGATCATAGACTGCTGCACACCGCACACGGAATCTGTGTCAGAGTTCCTTACAAATCTCATACTGTCAGATATTTACAACCTCCCCGGTGAATCCGTGCTAATGAATCCGGAAATCTTTTGCGCAATGAGAGCGGGGAACAGAGATTTTCTAGAAAAGATGAGAAGTTATGGAACACCACCAATGGCATGTCTCAAGACCGAAAAAGGAGATTCCATTCTTCACCTTGCTGCTTCTCTGGGTCATCTTGAACTAGTTGAAAGCATTATCTCTGAATGTCCATGTCTTCTATTGGAGCCAAACTGGAAGGATCAGATTCCAATTCATGCTGCTGTTCGTGCTGGTCGTTTAGCGGTTGTTAAGACTATTGTTGCATCAATAACATATTTTTCAGCTAGAATATTGTCTGAAGAAGAGAGGGAGAGATTTAATGTATATGTTCTTAAGGATACAGATGGAGAGATACTCCTCTGCACGCAGCAGGGCATCATATTGATACGTGACTATGGTTATAGGACACACTTATGACGTTTTAATTACTTAAGTTTTCGTGTTTTATTTATGCATTTGGTTTTCCTTTTTATGTTAAAGTGTTTTCTATTATGCATTAGGGTTATGATTAAGTTGTATCAAGACCTATATAAGTGTCTCTATTGATTAATAAGAAACCAACCTCCAACAATTAACCTAATTCTCTATAAAGAGACTTCGGTTAAAGGGAAGGTTTTGCTTTAAACTTTTGGCTCGTATCACATATGGAGACCGCTCTCTGCCTCGTGAATGCTAACAACCACGGGTCATTTCTTGAGAATAACGATGGAATATCTCCCTTGTACATGGCTGTAGAAGCTGGAGGTTTATCCCTAGTGAAAGCAATGTTGAACGGTCTTGGTAATAACGTCCAAGGCCAAGTTTCTAACTTAGCCTCAAAGTTAGAAGGAAGAAAATCTCTTGTACACGTAGCTCTAAAGGCACAAGATAGAGGTTCGGTTTCCCATTTTTTAACTCTGTTCATGTTCCTAATCTAACTTAAGTTACCGTTTGATTGAGCAGATATCCTCGATGCTATTCTTAATGAATGGTCAAGTCTTATCAGTGAACGAGATGATGGACAGACGTGTCTTTCATTTGGAGCATCCATAGGGTATTATAAAGGAGTATGCGACCTGTTAGACCGATCAACATGAAGCGTCTTTGAATGCGACGATGATGGTTCGTTTCCTATCCATATGGCAGTAGAGAAAGGTCATGTGGATGTGGTAAAAGAGATTCTAAAACGTTGTCCAGATTCAAAAGACCTGCTAAACAAACAAGGTCAGAACATTCTTCACATTGCAGCCAAGAGTGGGATAGATAGATCTTTGCTTTTAAAGTATATCAAGAGACTTGATAGGAAGAAGAATTATCTGATCCAGGAGGAAGATGCAGATGGTAATACACCTCTGCATCTAGCCACCATAAATTGGCGTCCTCGAGCTGTTATGGACCTTATCAATTTTTCTCCAAACGCCACCAAAATCCAAAATATAGAGAACAAAGATGGCTTGAGACCACTCGATATTGCAGAGTTAAAGCTACAGCCTGACTATGTGTTCAGGGAGGTATATAAATCACGGTCTCTATACAGCTATTTTGTTCCAATATCAAACCATATGTGCCTTTTTGTTCACTACTTTCTTTCGTCGTCATGAAATGTCAGAGATTGACTTTGATGATCTTGTTATCAACTTACAAACCAAGAGGTATTGGTTGGCTACCAACGAGCGGAATGACACTAAGAAGCAGATCAGAGAATCTAGAAGTTGGTGGTGACAAATACAAAGACCGTGTTAACATACTTCTACTAGTGGCAACTCTTGTAGCCACAGTAACGTTTGCGGCAGGTATTGCAGTACCCGGAGGATTTAACAGCTCTGCTCCAAACTTAGGCATGACATTTTGTCCAACAACATCAACTTCTCCTTATTTGTGCTATATTACACAGTGGCAATGCAAAGCTCTCTTGTAGCAATAGTTGCTCTTATTTGGGCTCAGTTGGGTGATCCCGAACTCGTTCACAGAGCCTTTAAGTTGGCGTTGCCATCACTAGCCTTTGCTTTAGTCTTCATGTCAGCCGCATTCTATCATGCCTTGATTGCTACGACAAGTCACAATCTTCTTCTTCCCATCGCCAATACCATTATATATTCCGTTTTCTCTGTTTCTATTTCTTATCTCCTTGCCCCTTACTGTGGCCCGTATATTCCAGGCTTTCGTCTTTTTAAAATTTCTATGCATATTTATCTCCGGATTCTATTAGGGTTTGTTGATGAAGACGATGCTCACACCTTAGGCTCTGGTCAAACCTCTCTGTGATTCATGTGGGAAAGTCGAAAAGATATCTACTTATCTATATATGATTCAGCTGTTGGTTTGATATATTCTTATCTATAGTGGTACCAGATTTATATATGTGTGTTAATTATGCTTGTCATGTACTCTGTTTTGTTCAAATAATAGACCTGTTTCAGTTCGTTACAATTTTGGGCGGCTAATAACTAGACCATATTCTCTCATGTTATTTATGTTTATAGTTAATGTCTGTGCGTAAACAATCACAAAGCGGGGATAGCTCAGTTGGGAGAGCGTCAGACTGAAGATCTGAAGGTCGCGTGTTCGATCCACGCTCACCGCATTTTACTAACCTTTTTTATTTTCCCAGAAGGAATTAAAACGACGTCGTTTTTGAGAATTTAACACACGGCGTCGTTCTATAAATAGCTCGAATTACACTAACTGAGCTTTTACCAGTAACGAGTTTTAAAAAGCCCATTAACAAGCCCACTACATATTCCACCGCCTTTACCTCTGAACCGACTGTTTTTCATCCACCCTTTATATTCGTCGTAACCGCAAATTCTAACATCGTTTTGTTTCTTTGACCGGAGAATCTCGATTAGGTTACGATGGTGTTTCTCTCGATTCCCAACGGGAAGACTCTTTCGATCGACGTGAATCCTAATTCAACCACCGTCTCCGCCTTCGAACAAATGGTCCACCAACGCAGTGATGTTCCAACGCCTTTCCTTCGTTACTCGCTCCGTATGCGAAACCCTAGCCGCGTGTTCGGAGATTCAAAAGATTCCGATTCGATCCTATTATCCGATCTCGGTGTTTCTCGTTTCTCTACTGTGATTATCCATGTCCCGCTTTTGGGTGGTATGCAAGGAATGGCTCCGCCGAAGCCTCGTCTCGACTTCCTCAATTCTAAGCCTCCGTCAAATTATGTAGCGGGTCTGGGTCGTGGTGCTACTGGGTTTACTACTCGGTCAGATATTGGTCCTGCTCGTGCTGCTCCGGATCTGCCTGATCGATCTGCTGCGGCTACAGCGGCTGCTCCAGGAGTAGGTCGTGGAGCAGGGAAGCCAAGTGAACCGGAGGACGATGAAGAAGCTGAGGAGAAAAGGTACGATGAGAATCAGACGTTTGATGAGTTTGAAGGGAATGATGTTGGTTTGTTCGCTAATGCTGAGTACGATGAGGATGACAAAGAGGCTGATGCCATCTGGGAGTCTATTGATCAGAGGATGGATTCGAGGAGGAAAGATCGGAGAGAAGCGAAGCTGAAGGAAGAAATCGAGAAATACCGAGCCTCGAACCCTAAGATTACTGAGCAGTTTGCAGATTTGAAGAGGAAATTACACACTTTGTCTGCGGATGAATGGGATAGTATTCCTGAGATTGGGGATTACTCTCTGCGGAACAAGAAGAAGAAGTTTGAGAGCTTTGTGCCTATTCCTGATACCCTTTTGGAGAAGGCGAAGAAAGAAAAGGAGCTTGTTATGGCCTTAGACCCAAAGAGCAGAGCCGCTGGTGGGTCGGAGACACCATGGGGGCAGACGCCAGTGACAGACTTGACTGCCGTAGGTGAGGGAAGAGGTACGGTGTTGTCTCTGAAGCTTGATAGGTTATCAGATTCAGTTTCGGGGCAAACTGTTGTGGACCCTAAAGGCTACTTAACTGACCTGAAGAGTATGAAAAGAACCACTGATGAAGAGATATACGATCGCAACAGAGCTAGATTGTTATACAAGAGTCTGACTCAGTCGAATCCAAAGAATCCAAATGGCTGGATTGCTGCTGCTAGAGTGGAGGAAATGGATGGGAAGATTAAAGCAGCTAGGCTTCAGATTCAGAGGGGCTGCGAAGAGTGCCCGAAAAATGAGGATGTTTGGCTTGAAGCTTGTAGGTTAGCTAATCCAGAAGATGCCAAGGGGGTTATTGCAAAGGGAGTTAAGCTGATACCCAATTCAGTGAAGCTATGGTTGGAGGCTGCAAAGCTGGAGCATGATGAGGAGAACAAGAGTAGGGTGTTGAGAAAGGGACTGGAACATATTCCAGACTCTGTAAGGCTATGGAAGGCTGTTGTTGAGTTGGCTAATGAGGATGATGCAAGGATTTTGCTTCACAGGGCTGTGGAGTGCTGCCCTTTGCATCTGGAGCTATGGGTGGCACTTGCGAGGCTCGAAACATACGCTGAATCAAAGAAGGTGTTGAATAAAGCGAGAGAGAAGCTCCCGAAGGAGCCTGCGATTTGGATTACCGCTGCTAAGTTAGAGGAAGCTAATGGGAACACAGCTATGGTGGGAAAGATTATTGATAGGGGTATAAAGACTCTGCAGAGAGAAGGGGTTGTTATTGACCGAGAAAATTGGATGAATGAGGCTGAGGCCTCTGAGAGAGCTGGGTCTGTAGCAACATGCCAGGCGATTATTAAGAACACAATTGGTATTGGAGTCGAAGAAGAGGATAGAAAGAGAACTTGGGTTGCTGATGCAGATGAGTGCAAGAAGAGGGGTTCCATTGAGACCGCAAGAGCAATATACGCCCATGCTCTTACTGTATTCTTGACCAAGAAAAGTATCTGGCTTAAAGCGGCGCAGCTTGAGAAGAGCCACGGGAGTAGGGAGTCCCTTGATGCCTTGTTGCGTAAGGCAGTGACATATGTCCCGCAAGCTGAGGTTCTCTGGCTCATGGGTGCCAAAGAGAAGTGGCTCGCTGGGGATGTTCCAGCAGCCCGTGCTATTTTACAAGAGGCTTACGCTGCAATTCCCAACTCTGAGGAAATCTGGCTTGCTGCTTTCAAGCTCGAGTTTGAGAACAAGGAGCCAGAGAGGGCGAGAATGCTGCTTGCAAAAGCAAGGGAAAGAGGAGGGACTGAGAGGGTCTGGATGAAATCAGCCATTGTTGAGAGAGAACTTGGCAACGTAGAGGAGGAGAGGAGATTGCTTAATGAAGGCTTGAAGCAATTCCCTACATTCTTCAAGCTTTGGTTGATGCTTGGGCAGCTCGAGGAACGGTTCAAGCATTTGGAACAGGCCAGGAAAGCTTATGACACTGGTTTGAAGCACTGTCCCCACTGCATACCGCTGTGGCTCTCGCTCGCTGATCTTGAAGAGAAAGTGAATGGGCTGAACAAAGCTCGGGCTATTCTCACCACGGCCAGGAAGAAGAATCCTGGGGGGGCTGAGCTATGGTTAGCTGCTATTCGTGCCGAACTGAGGCATGACAACAAGAGAGAAGCAGAGCACTTGATGTCAAAGGCTCTGCAAGAGTGTCCCAGTAGTGGTATCCTCTGGGCTGCGGACATCGAGATGGCGCCACGTCCTCGACGGAAAACAAAGAGTATGGATGCTATGAAGAAGTGTGATCGCGACCCTCATGTCACTGTAGCTGTTGCCAAGCTCTTTTGGCAAGACAAGAAGGTGGAGAAAGCCAGATCATGGTTTGAACGTGCTGTTACCCTTGGCCCAGATATTGGCGATTTCTGGGCGTTGTACTACAAATTTGAACTTCAACATGGCTCTGATGAGAACAGGAAGGAAGTTGTGGCGAAGTGTGTAGCTAGTGAGCCGAAGCATGGTGAGAAGTGGCAAGCCATCTCCAAAGCGGTTGAGAATGCTCACCAGCCTATTGAAGTCATCTTGAAGAGAGTTGTGAGTGCGTTGAGCAAGGAAGAGAATGCTGCTTGAGAGTAACAAATTCCTTATGTTTTTCATGATCAAGCTCTGCTCATAGCACATTACACTTTTAGTTCTTGTTTTCTCTTTGCAGGCTCAACTTTTAACCGTTCATGTTTTTCTTCAGTAGCGAGAGCTGATATTGATTTGCTGAAGTGTGTTTTCCACCTGATACATGTAGAATTCTCAGTTTACTGAATGCTTCAGTTTTCTTTGTGAGTCTCTGTGTGCTGTAGTGTTCAGCTATTTAACTTCTTTTGTTATTGTATAACTGATCATTTGCTGTTGCTCGTTTCATGCCTTTGCCTTCATCCTTAGGGAGCTTTGTCTGCCTGGTGACTAAGATTGGTGCATGGTACAAGTCATGAAACCCACTCCAAAACTTCTTTAGACAGTGTAAGAAAACTAACCCCTGACACAGTTTTTTAGAGTTCTTTGTCCATTACACCGACTGTGATAGTAATTTTTAGGAGTAGATATTGGTAACCTTTTAGCCTTAATGTTAATAAACCTCTTGCATGTTAAAATCAACCAACTAGTTTCTTGCTAACCTCCCACAATTTCTTTGCCTTCTCTGCAACACTTGCTTCTTTTGGAGACCTGATTCTCAAACATTATCAAACAAAGATGAGTTGTTTTCAAGCTTTTGGTCGCTCTCATCCTGTGGGAACTACAGTTTGTGTTAGTCAACGTTTGGCTATACTTGTTTTACTGTAATTATGTTCTAGTCTTTCACCGAGATATTCTATACATAATACATTACCTCTGGTGATATACCTATTAAAAGGCAGGAGAAACAATGGGATACGTTGTGTGAACAGTCCATTAGTTTCGTCGATTCAACCCAAGGTAAAGATAGAAGTGAAAGTGACACCGGTTTCCTCGTGATGGCGTCTGTGAAACTCTTGCATGTCCAGTATTTGGTCAATTTTGACATCCATCTTTGAGCCTGCTCGCCCCGTATACAACCAAAGAGCAAGGTCTGTGAGATCACAATGGTGATTAAACGTTTTCAAGTGTATAATAATAATTGGCTTTGAGGAAGTTCCCTGTGACTGCCATAATCAAGATAAACTCGATGAGAACATACCGCACTAAAAAAAAAAAAAAGAGGACCAAATCAAAGACATTCTGTTTGGTTTACCAAAAGCGGACCACAATAGACTGTATTTAGCATATTACAACTAACCACCTCATGGTCCTCATCTAGTTTCTAAAGACTAGTTATAACATTATCCAAATTTATTATGTATTGTTCTTTTGGAAAACACATGGCGACAACGTGTCCAAAATATGGACCCCAAAACTGCTACCAAAAATTTTATGGGGTTTGTAAAAATTTTATGGACCCCAAAATATGGACCCCCAACGTGTAAAAATTTTAAAAACAAATCCAATATTAGGTTTGTAATCATCATAAGATGATGGGGACAAGAACATGTTCGGTAACATTTTTCCAAAATATATAAAAAAACATTACAAAGAGATAACGCCATCGTTGGTCTAATCTAATGTATAATGCGAATGTGGAGCATAAACAGAAAAATAGAAATTAGTGGATATATATGAAACCGCATATTTGACTTTTGGTAGCATTATATGTCCGTGCCTTGTTGGTTGTTGAAAATTTTAAGTACTTTTATTTAAATATCGCATATGTTAGACTTTTTGTGCTCTTTTTATTTCTGTGGTATGGTTAGTGGTTTATAGTTGATTTTAATTAAGATAAGACATCATCTAAACCATCTAACTAAACAAATAATATCTCCTCGTGAGTGTTACATAAAACTGTGATCGATAGCCAAACACGATAATGTATTTAACTGGCCCAACAATCCAATTCATTTACTATGTAGAATGAAAAGAGATCCAAATGTAGTTGGTTTAATAGAAAGTTCTTTTGGTTCTGTTTAATATTCTTGAGTCGTAAAAGATAGGTAAACTTTGTTACGGAATCTGTGCTAATATAATGCACATGTAACCATTTCCTCTAAGTCGGTCTCTTTACGGACAATAAAAATTAATTAGATATGAAGTGTCAAAATAAAGCAAAAACAAAACTGGTCGACGTCAAATAAACAACGTGAATTCAGGTCGAGAAGAAACCCCAAAACATCACTTTCTTCGATTCTTTAGATTGTTTCTGTTTGCAAGTAATGAAAATAGTACTATTATTTTTTGAAATTAATAATATCAATTAATATAGGCCGACTACTTAAATGAATTTTTCGCTATCTAATTGTTAGGAAATGATTCGTTCTATTAAAATTAAAAAAAAAAACAAAAAAAAACAAAAAAAAAGTTAGAAGGTGTCTAGAAAAATCAGTGGAGGGACCAAACACTGAACACTCCATCAAGTCAATTTACAATCTAATCAAAAGGTCCACGTTCTTTGATTTTTCTCCGTCACATGTTTGACATTTTTGGCCTCATAAGGTCCCACTTTTTTCGTGTTTTATAACAAGTATTTTTTCTTTTTGTTAATCCATTTACTTCTGTATTTTCTAATTTTCTAAAACCTTGTATTGATGTTGAACCATTAAAAAAAAACCTTAAATTGATATAATATTCTTAAAACAAAATCAACAAGCCGACAAAAAAAAATTTAAAAAAAATATCAACAATATATACTATTTATGCTATGCAATAAGCTTCGTTATGATATTCTTGTGTCAACTTAAAAACGGCTTAAAATTTTTATTATATCTCTACAGAAAACAAATTGACTTTTGGTATTTTTGTTATATATATTCATTATATTTATAAATTGGATAACTTGAGGTTGAAATGTGTATTTTATGCTAAAATTTATTTGAAAAAAAAAGCCAAATTAATTTTTAAATAGAAATAATGCTTTTTCGTGATTAGTAAAAAATTATTGCTTAATCTATGGACTACATATTGAATTAAGCTATATAATATATATAAACAACAAACTATCCAAAATATTTTGTATCAAATTTTATATGATGATTGAAATTCAACACAATGTAGAACGACTAAATCATGGTGTATAAATTACTATAATTTGTAGTCAATTAGTTTATGTTATTATCGTCGTCTGTGTGTTACCATTTTGATTTAAACCCGCTTAATGTATGTTGTATTGTTGTTAGACAAAAAGAATGTAAAAATTAGGTATTACCCTTATATTAATGTAAAGAGTGTTATATGCTTATAAAGGTGATATTGTTCTATGAAATATATGATCCACTAATCAATAAAAACACAAATAGATGGAAACATAATTTAAAAATCATCAGCTTTGATTTAAGTATTTGCGTAAAAAAATTACAAGTATGATTAGATCATTACATTTGCTACTCCATTAAAGTATTACTGAGGTACAAGAACAAAGACCCTCTCAATCAATGTTATCAAGAAACAAGAAACAAGAAACCACTCTTTTCAACAAATCAGCACTTATAATTTACGACATCTCCCACTGATATGACTTAAAAGCTATTCTACACCCACAACGTTGAAACCGGTGTAACTATGTTTAAGGAAACGCTCAGTCAGCGGTCTGAGCCTCCATGCCGCTGCCACTGCTACTCCAACCACTGGACAAACACGGTATTGCGACCAGGGAAAAAAAGTAATCTCCTTGTCACTTGAGACCAACAAGAAAAACAAAGAGAGATACAAAATCTACATTTGAAAATCATCAGTATAGCGACTGATTTGTTTTAGCCACGGTGAGCCATTCTTGAGAAGTAGTTGAAGTCATGGTGTTGGACTCTTAGCTGTTTTAGCCAAGAATCTGCAACACTTAGAAGCGACAGAACTCGCTCTTGATCTTGACCTTGATCGTCTTCCGAGAGCCAAACATTGCCTTGCATCTTGTAAGTGGCTAATCCAAAAGGAAGCAAAGTTACACCTTCTCCTTCCTTCCGGATCCTCTCCTTTTCCCCGCCATTTTCTTCTGGCTCCATATCTGTAAATCAAGACCATAACGGTTACATTCTTGCGAGATATATAACACAACGAGAGGATTGAGAAGATTAGTACCTTGGAAAGAAGATGAAAGAGTGTGATAACTAAGGAAACAAGTGGACAAATCTTTGATCGTCCTTCCCATTGGAATATGATAAATCGGGTACCACGCTACCGCCATCCAACTTGCCGGGGAAAGATCTACGCTTCTCAACGACATTAATCCAGGGTACCTTTGAGCCAATTCATTAATCTGAAATCAAAATCGTCATGTCTCATTTCAACTCTTGAATGATAATATTCTAAGGACTTTCCTGCCTATCGCTAATGAGGAATCAACCAAGAGACTAATCCTAGTAATCAAATATCAAAGCAAGACCAATGGGGAAACAAAGAAGCTGCATTGAGTTACCTTATCCATGAGAGGAACTCGAGCATAAGGAGCTGATCTCTCAAAGTATTGCAGGTAAAGATATCCCAACCGATCATTCGGATGCAAAAGAGCGTCATGTTCAAGTCCTTCCTCAGAAGCACATCTCGAAAGTTTATCACTTTCACTCTCATCACTATATGAATCACTAAACGAATCTCTGCTTTCCCCATCTTCAGAGTCATCCCTAATCAAGAACAACCCAAAAGGGGTCACACATCAGCTCACATATTCAATAGATTCATCAAAGGATCAAACTTTCAAATCTAAACTGAGAGAAACGTATCAAAGCGGCAATTTTAAAGATATGAATGTATGTGTGTACCTAAAGCGGATCAAGGAAGAACGAGAGGTGAAAATCTGAATAGCAGAGAGATAAGGAACATAATATTGAACAAGAGATTCTCCATTAGTGAGACGAATGGGAACACCAGCTCCATAAGCACTCCATTCATCATAACAATCCCATAGATCACTCAATCTGAAAAACTCAACCTTTTCTCTCTCCCATGGATGCCAAATCCGATTCAAGCTCCTAATCTCCGCCTGCAAAAATCCAAATAAATTTCAATATTACCATGAAAAGAAGAAAGAATAAGAGGAAGAGAGAATGATTCAAACCTTGGGGAGAGATTGGGGTGGCACTACAGGTGTTGTGCAATGAAGGAATCTGTCAAGGTTTGATTTTTGCGTTGACCCATTTCCAAACACCATGATTCTTGTAAGAGAGAAAAAGGGAGAGGTTTCGTTTCTTGATTCTTCTTTGAAATAACCCAGAAAACAGAGAGAAACGAAAGAGAGAGAGAAGGGAGATTTTAAGAAGGAGACACGCAAGCGAGTGTCTGAGTTTTGACGTTAGGACAGCTGAATTTAAGGGAAAACGGACATTATGGACAAGAAATTTTTATAATTTAATTAAAAATATCAATTTGAAGAAAGAAAAATAAAAACCAAACCCTTTAACAAAAAAAAAAAAAAAAGAAAAATAAAAACCGAAATCTGCTCAGTTACTTGCAGAAGAAAGAAAGAAAAGTCTTTTCTTTTTTATTTATTTATTTTCTGTGGAGAGAGCCGATTTTACGGTTGTTTGTTTGTTTCTATGATCCAAAAACCAGAAACGAGAAATTTCCAAAAAAATGAGTTTTTTTTTTCTTTTTCTCTAGGATTTTGATTTTCGAATGCCACACACACGTCGATGATATCTTGTAGAGAGGAATTAAAGAGAAAAAGTTAGAGAAAATACCCGAAAGAGACGAGAAAAATGCAGACTTGACAAGAAAAAAGAAAGACTGTATTTGGCTAAAACAGAGTTTTTTTTTTTTTTTGGTTCTGTTACAATTTTCCCGGAAAACTGAAAACTTTCTCGGAAAAAGGAAAAACCAGTGGGTATTGAGAGACGAAACAGAGGTGGAGGTTATATATATATAAAGGTGAGAATCGAATCGATTGCTTTCTCTTGAAAATATTCTTTCTTTTACTTGATCAAAATCCTCTGTTTTGGGTTTTTTTCTTTCTTTAATTTTAGAAAATTGAAATAATAAAATATAGAAAGATGGTTATTAAAATTGAATTAAAAAAAGATAAGACAGATTTGAGAAAGAGAAGGTTCTGAATTCTGATATTAAAAGAGTACAACAAACACCTAATCAATCAAAGATTATCTCAAAGTTTGACGATTTTCCTCGTCCACAGCTCAATGATCCTCACGGCTCACGTGGTTTGTTTTTCTTAATTTAATCTATTAATTCTTTTATCGACTCTATTATTAAGTATTTGATTAGACACACTAAAAAAGAATTAGTCAATTACACTTAACAGTTAAACAACCTTCTACATGTACAATGTTGTCTAAAAAAAAATAGCAGAACTTTTTAAAAAGAATGTGAGGAGAAGATTGTGATCTCTAGTTTAAGAACATTAATCCAGCATTTGAATCATAGTTTTATGGGGCGTGTGATTTGTTTTTTTTTCAGTATACATTACGAAATACGTTTTTCTTTTTTGAAATACGTTATTTGTTCATGACGTATTTGAAAAGTTGTATATAATTAGGCTGCCTAACTTATTATTATCAAATTTTCTTGTACTGTGTCGCGTATATTAATTGGCTATCATAATACAATGTCCTTGTAGGAAGGGAAAATAAAATGTTAGTCCTAGATAATATGGTTTAGTTTTTAATTGATGGTTACTAGTAAGTCTAGTATATATGTAAAAGAACTATTTATGAAAGTTGATATAATTTCATTTGTTTTGAGTTTTTACGTTCATGTGATATAAATAGAAAATCTTATACAAATATTTTAAGAGACAAAAAAAAAAAGCAAAAAAAAAAAAAAGCATTATAAGTGGTTGAAAAAATCAATCGTAGGTAATTTTTTCTGAAACTAAAATGAAGTCAAATATATAAATAAGATATTCTTAATTTTCTTTCCATTTCAGCAAAATTAGGTTTTGCCAATTTGAGGTAACTTAACGTTTAGGCTATTTAAAACTATCACCAAAAAAACAAAGTTACGTTCTAGTTGACCGTTATTGCTCGCATATTTTATAGTTTTGTAACAAGTTAAATAACTCTTCTTTTGCAGATTAATTAGAAACTATGATCGTGTACTGTACGTAACTGAAATAGTCGTCATTGTAATAAAGATCAAACTAATCCAATGTTGTGGACGCAATATTGGGAAAACAATGGGTGTGGCTTGTGAGTTTGTGAGTAACTTGAATACTTAATTAAGAAATTAGTTATCTCCAATAAATATCACGTTATTGAACGGTACGTCTACTAACTAGGGTAGTCACAAGCAAATCACGTGTAAAATGTCTATTACGTGGAAGCATACCAACTTTTCTGAATTTTGTGGTTTTGCCCTTTGCGCCATGTGGTAGATTTCATGACACTTGGCAAATAAATTACAAACCTAATCTTTTATATTTTATTTATGAATGTATATATATATATATATATATATATATCTATATCATATATGTAGTTTCTATAGTCTTTAATTTTTTTATTTTTTTGTCAAATAGTCTTTATTGAAATTTTAACTTTATCTTTCCATTCAATTTCTCATATCATTAATATTGAACTTTCAAAAAAAAAAAAAACCCAATTTTTGGGCCTATTTTTAAGATGAACAATGTGAGTAGTAGTATCTTTTATTAAAAAAAAAAAAAAAAAGGAAAGAGAGAAAAGAAAGAAAAAAAAATATGCAAGAATCATCAGCATATTATTGGTTACGTGGTGACTTGTAAAATGGGTGATATATATATTTAAATGAATTTATTAAACCGAATTTGTAAATTGAGAAAACCGGTATGTTGGTAAAGGTAAATGACCGGTTTATCAGGCGGCGGGATGCTAAGATAAATTCGATGGCTAGGCGATCATCGTGATTTGGGGAATTGAAAACGAAGTTGATGAGTGTGACGTTATACTACATTACTACTGATGGCTAAATCTAGATATTGTTGTGGACGCGATAAAATATTCAACGTTGGATTGGTGCACAAAAAAGAGAAAAAAATCTTAATGTTGGATTCCTTTACTTTTACCAAGTGACATTATTTGTTTATTCACATTCCACATCCACACCGTACATAAATAAAATTTGGATCTTAGCGTATTGAGCGAAGCTTTTGGGCCTAAATCCAGTATGCGAGTACCTTTGACCCCAAATAGGCCCAATAGTTTCTGTAAACCCAATAAGACTCACAAGGCCTCTTGGGACAAAGATGATATACGTATGTCGTCGATGGAATTTCGGATTTATAATTAGTAGTTGTCTAGTTGATGATGTAAAACAAGAACAAGAGTACACACAATATATGTCTGTGGCTTTATTCGAAGGAAAGCCAATGGTGTGGCTAACGCCCTAGCTAAACAATCTCTGCGTTTGTATGCTCTAAGCTTTGCTTGAGTTAATATATTCGGGTTGCACAACAAAAGAAAGAATACACACAATATTTAACACATTCAGCAATAATATGCTGTATGCAGTTCACTTACATTGCTTGTCTAAATTTGGATTACTCTGACATTGAATATTTTCTGGTCATGACACTTCTGATTAGGCATGCAGACATAAAACATAAAAGTGATAAACGGTTTATCCTGTATAGATGCAGAAGTTGAGATAACCATTGTTGGCAAAGTTAATCATTATTGGCAAATTAGATCATGCAGAAGTTGAGACTTGAGATAAAATACAAACGAGTTAATCATCTCCTGTTTCAAACCGATATTTTTGGGTTTAATTAAGACGATTTTGTTATTGAGATTTTCACTGCATATCAATTTCATCAAGATTCTACATTATTTCGAAATAAATATATCGAGGAAAATCGATATTCTAAACCAACAAACTACTAATTGATTGTCTCAGTTCAAACACTATCGCTAAGAAGTAAGAACAACTAAAAACAAAGCTTAAGAGTGAGAGTTGAGTGATTATTGTGAGAGTTTATGTTATGTAATGTGCAATATATAGTTTGATGATATGATTTAGAGCATATAACATGGTGAAATTGACCCACCACCACATGACATCAATCGCTATCATACACATGGGATGATGATGATGCCGTTCCTTTTCTTCCAGCACAAGACTTCCTTTTTACTTGTTTTTCGACAACTTTTTTTTTTTTTTTGGTAAAAGTTTTCGACAACTTTCACTTTTCTTGTTTATTGATATTCTAATAAATAGATATCGATATTGATATCTCGAACTTATAATTTAGTTTGCATTATTGCATGTTTCTTGTGATTATAGGAGGTTGACACACGAATTAAAGTTATCAAACTCTATCAATATGTGTGTCGGAGTTTTACAATAAACGGAAAATATATCAGAATTTAATTCGATAACAAATCACCAAGATAAATTAAATTACACTGACAATATGAATAAATTCAAGAAAGGTACATACTATTGTACTACAGTCTATTATTGTCGGCAGTATATAATAAATGGTAACGTTAGTTCAATCTAAAGTAATTTGTAACCTTTAATTCAAATAACAACATTAAAAAAATTTAACAAAAAAAAACACATATGAAAGAAAAAGCAGAAATGGATTAGGATGTGAAGAAAAAAGTGGAAGAAACATATTGGCTTTGTAGTGGCCATCAAAATCTAATCTTGATCGTCGTGTCGCTTTAATTAGGAAACACAAAGGAGGGAAAATATAAAAATATATATCTAAAAAGGTTATTTGATATCGATATATGAACTTTCGAAGTATGAACACATGAAAGAGTTTTTACACATTTACATACGTATTTTCAACACACAACTAGAAAAGTTTTAAAGATAAGATGAATCCAAGTGGATGAAATTGTCTGTCACTTGCATTTGCATATATACACTCAAAATCTGAAGAAAAAAAGTTAGAACTTGTGAAAATGCGTAAAATGATTGGACAAGTAACATCATGAATGAAATTAGATAAATAAAGTTGGAAAAAGGGATGAATCATGTAGGTGACGAGAGACAGGTATTACTGTTAGTGATGCAATTAAAGCTCAAGATTCAGGCCCATCCTCATCATCATAGCCTGCGACAACAATCAAGAAAACAAAAACTTTGATCCAAATAAATCTAAAAGTAACACGAAGAATTTACGTATACAAGCTGATTCTATATTGAAAATAATTTTCAAAAATCAATATGGGATTCAAGAAGATTTTAAAATAGAGCATTATGGATTAGTTTTTGTTTTATACTTAGAAAGTAATAAAATTGTGTGATGGAGAGTGTATGGACTGTGATTAGTTTGGGAAAACTATTCAAATTTTCATTTTCATACAAAATGAGAGATTTAGAAAGGTAATTGCAAAGCACAAAAGCAGCTTTAATATATCTCTTTCATGAAATTTTAAAAATAATAGATCAATTTTTTTGGGGAAACTAAAACCTTTGTTTCTCCTCTCTTATCTCTCTTTCAATTAGTGAGAAATTAGTAACTTTCTCTCTCACTCTCTGGTCCGCTGTCTGTGAATCAACTGTTCTTGATTTCTACAAACCTCTCTCTACACAAAGGTGCGTTCTTTTGCGTTGAAATCACTCATATTTCTCATATATGATCTCGAATCGTCTGTTTTCTCTTTGTGGGTTCGTCCTTGTTACCATGTTTTAAAACCACTGTCTGATCCGGTTCGTGTGATCTGCTCAGACATTTAGTTGTTTTTCTTCCTCTTCATCACTCTGCCTTAGTTTGGTTTCCGAATTCTTATGAGACAATTAGTTAGTTTCTTCTTACTCGATTCACTTTACTACATTGGATTCCTCCTATAAAGTGTTTCACTTTCTTTTTTCTTTGTTGCTTTAGAATCTCTCTGTACTTCAGGATTTCAACTTCTCAGTATAAAAATGCCATTTTTCTTAGAATATTGAAGAATTACCTTATGTAAAGAACAAAACAAAGAGAGAGTCATAAGAATCTGTCTGGATGCATGTGTGAATAGACATTATGAGCAAAACTCTGTTCTTGATCTTTATTCTTTTTTTTTAGTATTCATGTTTGTGATTCTTGTAGGTCCTACTTAGATTAATTTAATCACTACTGGGATTAGTAAACAAGTCTCAGAACATAGATTAATAAGATCCCCAATGGTGGTAATGTGTCAGTGATAAACAATCTCAAGACAGGCTTTTTAGTGATAATATATACCTCTATTCTATTGCTAAGATCACATGCTGGATTTTGGTCTTTACTACTTCTTGAGGCTTACTTATCTCTGTGATCTTGTCGAAACTGCTGTTACACTATCAATTAATCCTTTTTCTGCATTGCTTTCAGGTCATTTTCCATGGATTATAGTTGACCACGATTGAATCCAAGGCTTGCCCAGAGATTATATACTGTGAAGTATTAAACCAGAGATTATAAAAGCTCTTTCTACTTAAGCATAACAAAAGGAGAGTCTTTTTTTTGTCTATATAAGAACCTTATCGTCTACGCTGGGATTAAACAATGGGGGGTTGTGTATCGACTAGTAGTAAGAGTACGTGCAGCAGTTGGAGCAATGGAGAGAAGCCTGTGCGTAGGCCATATCTCGGGATTGGTTGTTGTGTGAGCAAAAGGGCGAAGAGAACGTTTTCAGACCACATTGTCTCGTTGCAGAACTTGACTTCTATACCAAATCGGATCACCTCCAGCAACAAGAGCAGGAGCTCTTGCATTTTCACTCAACAAGGACGCAAGGGTATTAATCAGGACGCCATGATTGTGTGGGAAGTGAGTTCTTCAGACTCTTCTTTTGTATTTCTAACACTATGGTTAACTATAAAGCGAAACTTCTTGTTGCTTTGTAGGATTTTATGTCTGAAGATGTGACCTTTTGTGGTGTATTTGATGGTCATGGTCCTTATGGCCATCTTGTTGCTCGTAAAGTGAGAGATACATTGCCTGTGAAGTTGCAGTCTTTCTTTCATACGCTTCAGTCGAAGCAAAACAGTTCTAGAGGAACGCGATTCAGAAGAAATTCAAGCAAATCGGCTGTCCAAGAAGCTGTTAAAGAAGGATCTGACGAGGAAAAAACTAAAAGGCTTGTGGGGAGAAGCTTTCTTGAAATCTTTTAAAGCCATGGATAAGGAACTCCGATCTCATCCTAATCTGGACTGTTTCTGTAGTGGCAGTACTGGCGTAACAATTCTTAAACAGGTAAATTTAGAGAACAAAGAGACCTCTTTCGGTTTCAACCATGTTTCCTTTGATCTATATGATTTCTTTGATTGTTCAGGGGTCTAATCTCTTCATGGGAAACATTGGGGATTCTCGGGCCATCCTTGGATCAAAAGATAGTAACGATTCTATGGTGGCAACTCAACTAACAGTTGATCTGAAGCCGGATTTACCGAGTATGCCTAACATCTTTTCACAATCTTTTTTTCCTGGCTTGTATGCATTCATCTAATTAGGATGTTACTGTTTTGTGGATCTGATAGGGGAAGCTGAGAGGATCAAACGGTGTAAAGGTCGAGTATTTGCACTGGAAGACGAGCCAGAGGTGCCGCGAGTCTGGTTACCTTATGATGATGCACCTGGATTGGCCATGGCTAGGGCGTTTGGTGACTTCTGTCTAAAAGATTATGGAGTCATTTCAGTACCTGAGTTCACTCACCGTGTTCTTACAGACAAAGATCAATTCATTGTTCTTGCCTCAGACGGAGTAAGTAAGCAAGTGATCTTATCAGCTTCTGAGCCTCAAGAAAAGGGCTTTACTGATTTGTGAGCTTTATTGAACAGGTATGGGATGTGTTAAGCAACGAAGAAGTGGTTGACATTGTAGCTTCAGCTACAAGCCGAGCATCAGCAGCTAGGACCTTGGTGAACTCGGCTGCGCGTGAATGGAAACTGAAGTACCCGACCTCCAAAATGGATGATTGTGCAGTGGTATGTTTGTTTCTGGATGGGAAAATGGATTCTGAGTCGGATTATGATGAACAGGGCTTCTCTTCAGCAACAAATGCTGTAGAATCAGATGACGGCCAAAGATCAGAACCATGTCTCCAAAGAAACTTCACAGTTAGATCATCCTCAGATCAAGAAAACGAGACTTACGGTAATGTGAATACAGAGGCTGATGCAGAGGATGAGAAAACGGTAGGAGATCAAAACTGGTTGGGTCTAGAAGGCGTCACACGCGTGAACTCACTTGTCCAGCTTCCGAGATTCTCTGAAGAGAAGTCGAAGACTTGAGATTAGCTTTTAATGTTATTTCTGAAAACTACTGATCTTGAAAAAGTGTCATTTTTCGTTGTTATGCTTGATCATTGTGCGCAGCTTGATCTGTATTTGTTTTGCTGGTGTTTCATGTTTGATGTATCTGTATTGCACAATAGATTTCCCTCATCGATTCTCTCTTAGAATCCATGAATCAAATGTATATATACATTGTTTTTAGGTATCTCTCAAAACGAAAAAGAATATATGTGCTTGATGTTCTTCATCGACCTCCTGCTACAGTCTATAGAATCTTGAATCTACATGCTGATATCGCCTAATCCTGTCACGTATTTGCAGGCACAAATTAGCTTAGACGGACACTCTAAACGAGCATTCAAACGCTTGAGACTAAATTTTTAAGAGAGATTCTCGGATAAAAGGAACAGCTGGCAAACCTCGCCTGAGTGAGAACTGGAGTTTGTTTCCCCCGATGCTTGCGCCTCAGCTTTTTCATTTGAGTAACTTCAAGAATTCGAAATGAAAATCAGGTAACCAATATTAGCAACATAAAACTTCTCTTCGTGATAGCCGCCAAGCTGATATGTGCAACATTTTCAAATAAATTGGATAAAAAAGATTGAAGACGAAGAAGACTCACGTCGACAAGATAGTGACCCATATGAGTTCAATGCAATCCACCCAAAGAAGCCTTTGGTCTACAGGAATTACACCGTATGTAACCAAGTGAGCCAATGGCCAGAGTTTCCAGCCTGCCTGCACAGACAAAATCATGACATAACCTTTAGATAAAATCAACAGACTAACTTTAAGCTTTATATATGATTACGAAGGCACATGGCAAGGAGAGTTAATTACAGTGAGCATTGGCCAAAATGTTGTCTTGATTTCGCTGAAAATGTCAGCTGGAGATTGGAAACGCAAGAGCCCTAAAACGGTAAAGTAGATACTGTTCCAAATTGCAGACCAAACGGTTTGATCAAAGGCGACTTTTGCAGGGACTACCCACCATTCTTGAAAAGGAAAGAGAGCCTTGTAAAAGAAAGATTTTAACTTTCAGCGCATGTCTATACAACATATCTTGACAGAGCATAGATTGATTTTTACCTCACAGAATTGGTAGTAATAGTGAGAGAGTGATCCATGGAGAGTGAATCCAACAAGACCTGATCTAAGAACACGAGCTCGATCAAACTCAAACAGCGGTTTTCCTTCATAACACTACATAAATTTACAGCCAAAATGGTCAGAGAGAACTCAATTTGAGCAGCTTTCTAGAGGGTTTTTAGTTGTTTACTTGTGCAATCCAATCTCCTAAAGAATACACAATTCCACTAATCGCCATTTTCGCCAAAACTGGGTTTGTTTTGAGAATTTGTTCATACGCAACCCAATTGTGTTCAGGTGCATACCTAAGTATCTCGTACAGAGTCCAACCCTAAGAAGAGCATTAACAATCATTACATCAATTTTGGTATAATCCCATAAAGGAGCAAGCTTTGCAAAAATAGAAGAATCAATCAACCACAAGCTTACTTGCCAATAGTCATGATCGATGGTTAAAAGCTTAGTAACCGCAACAGTACCGGCGGCGAGAACTATAGCTGCGTTGATTCCTCGACTCATCAGCCGATCTGTATCTTCTACTTTATATTCTGTTTGTTCTTCCTCTGGCTTGAAATTGTCATTTTTAACATCGATTGCTTCTCTGTCTTCAATGATCGATTTAACGATCAAATTCCTTCTCTCTGTAATCAATCGTTTCTGATTCTTAAAAGAGTTGATTCTGGGTAATTGACCTACGGTTTTAATCCGTGAAGAAAGCTTCCCGGAGACGATGATTGTGGTAGGACAACAACAGAGAACTGCCATGGACTTCGCACTTCTCAAAGGAAGATACTTTTTTTTTTCTCTTCTCGCTGGTTCTCTCACCGCCAAAGGTGAGGTTTTTAGACTTTAAGAAGAAAAGAGAAGACTTTGGTGACCAAACGGTAGGAACTTAGCCGAACCGAGTTTCGCGATAACCGATGGGTTGTGATTTGGTTAAAAACCGGTTTGCACATTCACGTAACCGAAGCCGAAAAAAAGGTCCTACCGAGACTTGAACTCGGGTTACTGGATTCAGAGTCCAATGTCCTGACCACTAGACCATAGGACCAGTTGCTTCGAGTCCTACCGTGCTGGTTTAAGACCTAGGCACGTTCAAGGACTACACCATCGTGGTCTCCGCCGATACGGCAGTCTGATCAAAACGATTCAAAAAAAAACTTTTTTCTGAAATTCACGAAAATTCCGATTCTGTTTCGTTTGTCGTGAAATCGGGTGATCTTCGCAATATGCATACGAGCTTGAGTGATACATCTCCGTGGTAAATGTATTGGCTTTGTTTGGTTAACGATGTTGATAGGATTAGGTTGTGGTGAAATTAGAAAAAAAATTGGGGCTTTCCTGATATTTTTGGCTAATTTGTTAATTATGAGTTTTGGTAAGCCTGGGGTGGTAGAGGAGGTGATGAGGGTTTAGGCTTAAGATGAGAGAAAATGGGATCGAACCCAATTTGCATACTTTTATTTCTCTGGTGAGCTTGACGTTTCATTGATTTGACAAAGCATGTATTTGAGGTTGTGGACAGTTGCAGGATCAGACCAAATGTTGTTACTTACCACAGGCATGACCAAGGAGTATTGTAAGGTAGGGTAGAGCTATAAAAATTGGAGGTTTGGAGGATTGCATATATGACAATGATCCAGATACTGAGTCTTGTGTAGCTTTTGAATCAAGAAAGGGATGAGAAGTGATATGACAATGATCCAGGTTTTGAGTCTTGCCTAGCTTTGTATCAAGATTTGGATGAGAAGTGACTTTCAGGTTCTGCCTCAGACCTCATGCATATTGTTTAGTGATTGGAGACTCTGCAAGAAGGGAAAAATTGCATAAAGGTTATGTGGTTTTTAGGCAATCCACGTTAATGATTCATCCGTAAGGGGACAACTTAGATTTTTCTGTGTGTTGCATCCAAAGATGTACTGTGTACCCAAATTCCGAGTTCACCAACCACGGATGACCAGTTTTCGTCTGGTTAGGAGGTTATCACTTCTTGAAACAGTTTGAATGTTTCTCAAAGACTGGTCATGTACTAGCCACGTTTTTTGTATGGTTATCTTGGAGGTAAGATGAGCTGGTGACAATTCTGTTTTTGGCTTATATTGAGATTAACGTGCAACCAGTCATTTGCTTTAGGCAGCTTTGATAAGATGTTTAAGGAATTAATTACCCATCAAGAAGATATTGAAGGAGAAAAGGCTAAAGAGATTCATTCGACTTGCAAACCATGGTTGGAATTTTGTGCACATAGTGATTGAGGAGAGAGAGATAGAAAGTGAAGGGACTTTAAATGTTAGATCCGTTGAAACTAGTGGTGGGCCTGTCAAGGTTGAGGTTGAGGGAAGAGCCAGCCTGCCCAAAAAAAAAAATATCTTGTGCAACATGTGATGACTAGTAGCTTGGTCCTACATGCTTATCCAGATATATGCTGGGAAAGAAACATCAAAAGGTTAGCCACATTTTAGGAAGAACTAAATTTCCTAATGCTAGATTGCTCAAATAGGTGTTTGTGAGCTTTGTTCATTTAATAATTGCCATATATGTGGCTGTATTCACTGAATTATTAACAGGGAAAGCAGTTAAAAGAGATCTAACATGATGTAGGAGGTTTTGATTTTTAGGAGGCAAAGAGGCTTTCATGGGACCACAATGGATGATATTTGCAAAATACATTGTGGTTAAGGTTTGTCTCTGGAGCACATGTTGAGACTGGGATACTCTTCTGTGAGAACGCATTAATAGCTGTAATAAGTGTAGATAGAATTTGTGGACGGTAATTCCCGTGACATTTATGGAGGTATCTGTGATGTTTTTTCCTATTAAAAAGACAAATAAGAAGACCCAAAAAAGGTGAGAACAACTATACACAAAAAGAAATTTTTTTGTCTGAAGACAAAGAGAGTGGTCAATGACCAGTACTCTCCTATATGTTGGGTTAGGACTTCTACTTGTTTTGCATCGTTGAGATACAATAGTGCCTGCTTAAAAGGCTTGTATTGGATGGAAACTGTAGAAGCTGGGTATGATGATGTTATTGGTTGGTTCGAGCATGTATCGGAGAATGCTTGCAAGGTTCAAAGCGAGACTCTGCGCCGGATTCTTGAGCTCAACGCCGGAGTGGAGTACCTGAGGAAGTGGCTTGGGACTGTTGATGTAGAAAAGATGGACGATTATACCTTGGAAACTCTCTTTACTTCCTTGGTGCCTATTGTTTCACATGCTGATTTAGATCCTTATATTCAAAGAATTGCAGATGGAGAGACTTCTCCATTACTTACACAAGAACCCATCACTGTTCTGTCCCTCAGGTATATTTCTATATGCATCTTTTGATTTCTGTGTGTGTGTGTATGTGATATCTATTCTATCTTGATCCCTTTTCACTCTCTTTTTGACGCAGCTCTGGAACAACAGAAGGGAGACAAAAGTATGTTCCATTTACTCGTCACAGCGCACAAACTACTCTTCAGATTTTTCGATTATCAGCGGCTTACAGATCAAGGTTTCCTTTCATTTCCTGTCCTCTCTTTTCCATCAAAAGTTTTTTATTTGCTCATAAATTCCTACTATGCTTTTTCTTAAAGGTTTTATCCAATAAGGGAAGGAGGGAGGATTCTTGAGTTTATATACGCCGGGAAAGAATTTAAGACGCTAGGAGGATTGACAGTAGGAACGGCCACAACACATTACTATGCGAGTGAAGAGTTTAAAACTAAGCAAGAGACAACAAAGTCCTTCACTTGTAGCCCACAAGAGGTCATCTCAGGGGGTGATTTCGGGCAGTGCACGTATTGTCATCTCCTACTTGGCCTCCATTACTCCAGCCAAGTAGAGTTCGTCGCCTCTGCTTTTTCTTACACTATTGTCCAAGCTTTCTCCTTTTTCGAAGAAATCTGGAGAGAGATATGTGCTGACATCAAGGAAGGCAATCTTAGCTCAAGAATCACTCTGCCCAAGATGAGAAAAGCTGTATTGACTCTGATCAGACCAAACCCGTCTCTTGCTTCTCATATTGAAGAGGTCTGCACAGAGCTGGAATCAAATCTCGGATGGTTAGGGTTGATTCCAAAGCTTTGGCCAAATGCAAAATTTATCTCCTCAATCATGACAGGTTCCATGCTGCCGTACCTTAATAAGCTGAGGCATTACGCTGGCGGTTTGCCTCTGGTGAGCGCAGATTATGGGTCAACCGAGAGCTGGATCGGTGTGAACGTTGATCCTAATCTTCCCCCAGAAGACGTGAGCTTTGCTGTGATTCCCACTTTTAGTTACTTCGAGTTTATACCACTTTACAGGCGGCAGAATCAATCAGACATATGCAGTGACGGTGACTTTGTCGAAGAGAAACCTGTGCCGCTCTCTCAAGTCAAACTCGGACAGGAGTATGAACTTGTGCTAACCACTTTCACAGGTAAAGAAAAACCTCCACTGCATTTTCCATAGTCAATAGTTATAATCAACGAGCTTTTTGCGCCTCTTTACTTCCTCTGTTTCATCACTTACTCTGTTTTATCACCTTCTACTTTGTACTCTGTTCAGGTCTTTATAGGTACAGATTAGGAGACGTTGTTGAAGTGACCGGTTTTCACAAAGGCACACCAAAGCTAAGTTTCATATACAGAAGAAAACTCATCTTAACCATCAACATTGACAAGAACACAGAGAAGGATCTTCAAAGAGTGGTTGATAAGGCGTCTCAGCTTCTGAGCCAAACCACACGAGCCGAACTCGTTGACTTTACAAGCCACGCAGACGTTATAGCTCGTCCTGGTCACTATGTTATCTACTGGGAAATCAGAGGAGAAGCAGAGGATAAGGCTCTTGAAGAATGTTGCAGAGAGATGGATACTGCTTTTGTGGACTATGGTTATGTTGTGTCGAGGCGCATGAACTCGATCGGACCGCTCGAGCTGCGAGTTGTGGAACGAGGTACGTTTGGAAAAGTGGCGGAAAGGTGCGTTGGGAAATGCGGTGGCTTGAACCAGTTTAAGACCCCTAGGTGTACGACCAATTCGGTTATGCTTAACATACTTGATGATTCTACTATCAAGAGATTTCGCAGTTCGGCTTATGACTAGAAATCTGATTTCTGAATTTAGTTTTGGTGTTTTTATCTTTGTGATTCTATGGCGGCTGTGTTAGTGTACTCGGATTTGACCATTTACAATGAAGAATAAAAGAATAAAAAGTTACTTTTTGATTAAACTGGAGTAACAAAATTTCTGTTATTTCGAAAATTAGAAAATCAATAATTTTTCAGTTTTAGATTTGCGTTTTGCCGGAAAGATTATATGATTTTTGAGATGAAACTTGTGAAAATGACAATAATTAAAATTTTGTTTAAGTAAATGACAAATTGTTAAGTTCTTATTAGCATATGATAAGAATACTGAAAATATATTTAATCTATATTTCTGGATTTTTATCGTCTACAAATTATACGTTACAAGATTTAACTTCGGATTATGAGACAGGCGGACAGCGACAACACCAGCATGAACCACGTTCACAAATCCCGACCATCTTTACTAGTGAGTTATAACGGTGAGTAGAAAAGAATGTGTTGCTAATAGTTAAGATTACTATATAGTATATAGTGCATGCATGTCATTCACAACTTCATTATTCAGTCATAAAAATTGCATTGATTTTGCAAACCAAATTAGAAGTTTTCTTTGCATTGTTTCCATTATAAGCCTGGGGTGAAGTAACCATACAGTAGTGTGGGGTGGCATAATTTTGATAAAAAATCAGACAATAAAAACATTTATTAGATGTCACAAACAAGCATTAAAAGGCAAAGGCAGAGAGAGACAAGTGGGCTAAATTGAATTGATAGAATACAAAATGAGAAAGAAACATTTTTCTTGCTTTTACATTCTAACCAGATAAACTCTGGTCAGCCTTACCAAAAATAAAAAGATAAACTCTGGTCAATATCATTCATGTACTTGCAATACATGCATACATAAATGCATTTGTAAATTTAGTAATATACCTATGACTCGTCTAATTGGAGAAAAAGGCTCCGTTTGGCTAGGCCTAAAAATTAACCTTACCTTTAAAACTCGGTGGAGATTTTTCTTTCGTATTTTTTGAAATCGCGTTATAAATTCCGAAACTTTCTTAGCACAAAAAGTATCAGATCGTGGAGTATATTTCCAACAATATTAAAAACAGCACAAACACATCTATGAATTTGAAAATGAGAAAGTATACACACAAATATATGTATACGAACCAAAAAAAAAAAAAACTAACATTTATAAACCATCTACCTTGTACCATTTTGAAAATATATAACCAACGGAATTCAAGTCCCTCAGATAAAGTGTTTTCTCAAACTCATTATACAGTATATCATTAATTAGACCGAAATCTAAAATGAAGTAGTCAAGTAAGTTAATCAACAAAGACGTTAATTAAACTTACATTCAAATCTCTTTAATGTTTGCCAGTTTTATTTCTTACATCAAAGCGCCATACTTTATTTATAGCAACCAAAAAACTTACATGAAAAAAGCTAGAACCTCGTGATCGTATTTTTCTAGCCATGCAATCGACACATATATTATTCACACGAAAAAAAATATATATATATATATATATATATTATTCACACGTGAAAAATGATCGTAAGAATTTTAAAATTTACCAACCAAGATTCAAAAATATATCTAATTCTGAAAAGAAATTAGACCAATTAGAAAATATCTTTGATCATAAGTTTGTCGAATATCCCCAAATTAGAAGCATCCAGATATGTTAACAGATAACTTCTTTAACGATTAATCGATGTATCTGACTATTCTTTCTATTTTTTTGTCCAGCAAAACTCCAAGATTGGCAATTTTTTTACTTTAAAGAAGAGCTCTCCACACACATCACATTCCAACGGTCCATAATCAACCAGGCAAAAAAATATCAGAGGATTTGTTGGTTGGCCCATCATGATCCAACTCTCCATGTGGGTAACAACAATGTAAGCGAAATTATTATAAATTTTAATAGGAAAGGAAAATCAACAATTAAACCACATAACTTGTATGAAGATCACTATATTAGTTATCTTCTGTTCTAAACTTAATTATTTTATTTCATAAAAAACAATCCTATTATTTACATAAATTATGAAATATAATCATATATTCATATTCATAAATCATAACAAATAATCCTAAGTACATTTATAATCTGACCTAATTGAATATGATTATTTTGAAAATAATTAATTTTTTTTATAATTGTACTTGCAAAAGGATACACGTTTTGGAAAATTTTAACTAAACAAATACTAACATCATTATAATTAAGTAGGCAGATTAACGAGAACTAAACATGAGGATTAAGGAGAGTATAGAGGAGTGGATGAGGAGCTGACGTGGAAGCGAAAGTGACGTCATCTGACAGTGAAGAACACGTGACACTCGCCAGCAAGAAAACAGTAATGGGAATCCAATTCCAACTAATCTTTTTCCTTGCGGCTATTTTTGTCATTTACCGTTACCATTTCAACGTCTTTTCACCGTCTCTCCTCCACGCGCTTCCCGAGAGCGTAGCATTCAACATTTTTTTATCTAAACCACTGGTTTAGACCGGTTATTACCGATTAAGCAAACTGAGACATCGTCCGGTATAACTAAACTAACATCCAATTATTCTCGTTATCGGTCTTTAAAAAATTGACAAGTTTTGAAACAAGTCTTTTGGTCGGATTAGAATCTTAACGCAACTTGTCCTCAAACATAATATAGGGATACAGTTGTACACATCATGACGTTAAATCATTGATTAATTAAGTACTAGTCTTTATCATTAATTAATTAAATTATGGATTTTAGTACTGATCTGAAGCAATAGTAACATCAGTCAAATTTGTTTCTAAAATAAAAATTAAACAAATCCAGAAACACAGTTTCCTAGTTGTTTCAGTAATGAAGAACTTAAACTCTTTCTTAAACCCAAATTTCTGAATTTCTCCAGTTCTTTCTTCTTAATTCGCAGGTTTTGGTCCCACTGTCTTTTTCCGCTGAAATTATGTAACAGGATAAGCATATATCCTGGTTCTGTTAAACCAAACTCTCAATTCTCAATTATCTTATTTCCGGTTTAGTTACTCTATTCCAGTAAACCAAGTCTAAGTGTGTTTAGATCGAGTATATGTAGGCCTTTGGCCATCTTTGAGAAACTTAATCAATCAAACAAACAATTATCTTCTTCAATCTCCTTTATTTCTTTCGATCATCATCATCTTCCATTTACACCAAATCTTAGATCTTCGAGGTGATCCTTCACCTTCTGGGCTTTGATTTGCCCTTATCTCGTGCTCTCGGTGAGTGCTGATTCGGAATTTATCATACCGTTACAAATTAGGAAAAAGTTTCCTTTTTTCGTTCTGGGTTTTTGGTTTTTTTTTTCTTCTCTGATTAGTATTCCTCGAGTGTCGAGCTTTATTCTCAAGTGTCAAATTATTGAGAGGGTAAAATTTACTTCAACGACGAAAGTTCATTGAACCTTAGCTCTTACGTTGCGTCTCAAATCTCATTCTCACCCACATAAACAAAAACATAAAGTTTACATTTTTTTCACGATTGGGTTTTTGGGGAATTTAAAGGACAAGACTTTACCCTTTTTTTGTTTCGTTTTAATTCACCAACCATTAAGCTCGTTGATGACGATTCCTCTACTTTTCCAGTAAGTTTTTTGTAATCTTTTCCTCTTCTCAAGATTGCTACTTGTTTAATTCCCCACCTTTGATTTGTTATGGATCTTGTCGCTTTCAGATTCGTAGACATCGTTTTGTTCGATTGATGTGTTGGTTTTACTCGAATGGCTTCTAAGAGATCTATCCACTGTCTTCTTCTTCTTCCTCTGCTCTTGTCTTTACTACTCTGGATTCCTTCGATCTCTTTCGCTGCTACTAACCCTGATGATGGTAAGAACCCTTTTTTCCATAGAAGATCTCAGGAAAAGCTGCAATTTTTGCTTCTAGATTACATTTTGTCTCACTGAATTTAGAGTGAGATCTGTTGCATATTGCTTGAGGATTTTAAGATTTTCTTCCAGAGTGTTTCTGAGAATTAATCAGCATTGTTGTAATTGACTTCAGTTGCTGCAATTAACGGATTATTCGCTGCCCTTGGCGCACCTGTTCTTCCTGGTTGGATTGCTTCTGGTGGAGACCCATGTGGTGAAGCTTGGCAAGGCATTATCTGCAATGTTTCAGATATAATAAGCATGTAAGGAAGTCTTTCAGAGATAACAGCAACTCTTGAGTTATCTTATAAGTCATTGAATCTTTCTGTTAATTCTGTCTGGAATGGTTGCAGAACTGTAAATGCTGCAAATTTGCAAGGAGAGCTTGGTGACAACTTAGCTAAGTTCACTTCTATCAGGGGAATGTAAGCATTGACACACAAAATGTGACAATTTTGACAAGTTGATTTGGATATTTCTTGTAACCTTTTGTATTTGGTTATCTCCAGAGATTTCAGCAACAATCGCATTGGAGGAAGCATACCTTCTACTTTACCGGTTACATTGCAGCATTTGTATGTATACACCTAACAATGTATATTTTTTTTTAATAGGGTTTGTTGCTTTGAACAGTTTGTATGATAATGGTCTTTACCTTTTGGCAGTTTTCTTTCAGCGAATCAGTTCACCGGAAGCATCCCGGAATCTCTAGGAACATTGAGTTTTCTGAATGACATGTAAGTTCAGATTACTCCCAAATTCTTTTTTCCATTGCTTTGTGCTGATGAGAATCATATCATTTGTTTTCAGGTCTTTGAACGATAACCTTCTCTCAGGAGAGCTACCTGATGTGTTTCAAAACCTTGTCGGCCTGATTAATCTGTAATGCTTCTTCTTGTTTATAGTTTAGTGAACAGTTATTGTTTCTATGGATTGTTTTGTGATCTGATATCTTTGTGCAGTGATATATCATCTAACAATCTAAGCGGCACATTGCCTCCTTCAATGGAGAATTTATCAACTCTTACAACATTGTAAGTTTTGATCATTACAAAAGAAATGTTGAATCTCTCTTGGATTCTTTCTTCACTAAGCTGATAGTCTGAGTTTTACAGACGTGTTCAGAACAACCAGCTCTCAGGAACTCTGGACGTTCTTCAAGGCCTTCCTCTTCAAGACCTGTATGTTTCTTTCTCTCACAAAATAGAAGTACTTAAGCAGTGATAACTTTTCAAAAGTCTTAGTTTCTGTTGTCTTCTTGAAACAGAAATATAGAGAATAACCTCTTCTCTGGACCTATACCGGAAAAATTACTAAGCATTCCAAAATTCCTGTAAGTGCTCTTTAATTTGTTGTTTACTAATACTATGGAGGCATTTTCAGGCTCTTACAGTTGCTCTGTGTATAAATTGGTGATGCAGAAATGAAGGAAACCCGTTCAATGCCACCACGATCAATTCCACCTCAACTGCACCAGCATTGTCTCCGTCTATGTCTCCAACAAAACCAGCTCCAGCACGACCGTTTTCTGGAGTTCCACCGCCTCCAACTGAGAGGAATCGAGGGAAAGTTGCTGATGGACCTTCTGATTCAGAAGGATCGAGTTCTGAGAATTCAAAGGGAAAGAACTCTTCACATACTAAAAGGATAATCCTTATTGCATTCGCTGGCGTCCTCGTCTTCATAATTCTGGTTTTGGCAATACTCTTGCTGTTGCCAAAATGTGCAAGACGAAGAGAACATGCTAACAGAGTCTTCAAACCGCATCAAGTTGGTGCTGATAGAGGAAGCAGAGAGAATGCTCTAGAAAACGGGCCTCCGGTACTGCCACCACCTGGTCGATCTGAAAAAGGTGAGATTGAAGTTTGCAAGTTTGGCTATTGGTTCCTATTGTCCTTCGTTAAATAATGCTGGGATTGTGCTTATGAACAGTTCAAATGGAACCTTTCAAGAAAGCTGGAGAGGAACCAAAGGTTTTACATGACCTTGAGAGGTTGCGGAGACCTGCGCCTATATCAAGACAGGAAAGTCAAGATATTGACTTTTCAATGTTGATGCCTCCTCCTCCACCACCTCCACCACCACCACCACCACCACCTGCTCCTTTGGCTGAGAAGGTCTCCGTGATGCCAATTATATCACCCGAAAGACCCGTTAAGAAACCTTCCCCTAAACGCTTACCCTTAACTTCTGTGAAGCACTATTCTATTGCATCTCTTCAACAATACACAGAAAGCTTCGCTCAGGAAAATATCCTTGGCTCAGGCATGCTCGGGAGTGTTTATAGGGCCCGGCTTCCCAATGGAAAGGTATAATGTCTTAATTTAAACATTTCAGGCTCAGAAACTCTGCTTTGGTTCTGAATCTTTTATCTTTAATTTTGTCTTTTACAGTTGTTTGCTGTCAAGAAGTTGGACAAGAGGGCTTCTGAACAACAACAGGATCACGAATTTATCGAACTAGTGAACAATATAGATAGGATTCGCCACTCCAATATCGTTGAACTTGTGGGTTACTGTGCTGAGCACGATCAAAGATTATTGGTCTATGAATACTGCAGTAATGGTACGTTACAAGACGGGTTGCATTCAGACGATGAATTCAAGAAGAAACTTTCGTGGAATACCCGTGTCAGTATGGCACTTGGAGCTGCCAGAGCTCTTGAGTAAGTTCTTTTATTTACTTCAAAATGGAAGTGTCTAACCGTGTTTTCTACCCGATTGCTAACTTTTGTTAATACTTTTAAGGTACTTGCATGAGGTGTGTGAACCACCTATCATACACAGAAACTTCAAATCAGCCAATGTTCTACTCGACGATGACCTGAGTGTTCTTGTTTCAGATTGTGGTTTAGCCCCACTAATATCATCAGGCTCTGTGAGTCAGGTAAAGTACTTAACACCCAATGAACTTGATTCTCATGGCTTTTACCCTCTACAGATTTCAAGATGTAAAACTAAACTATTTCTTGTAATAATAATCAGTTATCAGGACAATTGCTAGCTGCTTACGGATATGGAGCTCCAGAGTTCGACTCTGGAATCTATACATGGCAGAGTGATGTATATAGTTTTGGTGTTGTTATGTTAGAACTCTTGACGGGTAGAATGTCCTATGATAGGTATGCACGTCCCATTGTTTTATTCGCTTAGTTTTCTGTTTCCAGTGAAGCGTGTATTCATATCGATGAGTTGATTATAGGGACCGGAGTAGAGGAGAGCAGTTCTTGGTGAGGTGGGCAATCCCTCAGCTTCATGATATCGATGCATTGGGCAAAATGGTTGATCCATCTCTCAATGGACAATACCCTGCAAAGTCGTTGTCACACTTTGCTGATATAATTTCCCGGTGTGTTCAGGTAAAGCACATACTGACAATTAGAAACTGTGGTTAGATGCTTGTGATTGTGTTTGCTTTACCAAAAGAGTTTTTTTTTTCTTTTCTAGTCTGAACCAGAATTCAGACCATTGATGTCAGAAGTTGTTCAAGATCTACTAGATATGATCAGAAGAGAGCGTCATGGTTCGGGTGATTCTACCGCAGACTAGTGAATTGTAAAGAAGCATTTTTTATCGGATCATCTCTGTGAATTCGTGGAAACAAGAGATGTTCAGTTCTCAGAAACAACAACATAGGGAACTAAACCAGACACATAAAAAAAAGTCAAAGCCTCAGGAGGAGGCTTAAGCTGATTCTACAGCCAAGAAGAGGCTTGTTTCATGTGAATTGACTCTAAGGAAAAGGATCAATGTGGCTTGCTTCCAATGGGGGATGATTCGATTGGTGCAGAGTTTATTTTTGTGAATCTTGAATCATCTATGTTAGTAATATTTGTTGGTTGAAGACCTCTACTGTAAAATGGTGTGTTTACTCGATTCTTTGAGCTTGTTTTACTTAAAGCTCGTAGAACTTGCTGTGTTATATTCTTTTACTATGTGTGTGACTTTGTGTATTTGTACCTGTAATTTATCCGAAACATTCTACTTACTAATCAACGGATGTTCAATAAACCATACCAAAAAACCGGACTAAACCAGATTCAATAGAATCTAAGAATATCTTGGAGGATAAGTACTAAGAGATGCTATACAAAAACAAATAATATTAGTACCTAAGAGATATATATATATCAGCTATCTCCTCAATGAAACCCGTAACCAGAAGCGCATCAAGCATTCAAGCCACCCATTGTTCCTGTTGGAGTTGTGAATATGGTAATAATCTCAGGAGAACTTATACTATTATTGTCTCAACATGCTTGCGTTTAAACCTAATTTGTCATTGCAGGTATTATTTTTGGTAGTTAAGAACAAGGGAGATCACAAACCTTTGAATGTAGGTGCTATGCTCTTGATCACTGAAACAAAAGCCCCATTGGGTCGTGTGGATGGGTACTTCTTTGGATCTGTAACAAATCCTCACTATATTGTGAGATTGGCGGATTCAGAGATGCAAGTCCCTCAAGGTATATGTCTGTCGTTCATCGAGGAATTTACACAACATATTGAGGAAGAGGATCTGTACAAGAGATTTCATTATCCAACCGGATATGAGTTTGACTTAATTGAAGAAGAAGGTGAGTGCGGCCCAATGGAAGTTTTGGGAAGGAGTTCATATCATTATGAACCAAACCGTGGGGCACAAGACAATTTCAACCGAATATTTTGTTTGCAGCAATATGAACCAATGATGTACCAGCAAGAGCAGATATTCATGAGACCTGAGACCAACCAGCAAGAGCAGCAATATCAACCAATGATGTACGAGCAAGAGCAGCAATTCGTGAGACCTGAGACCAACCAGCAGAACCAAATGGGCATTAATCTTTTCCCAAGTCAAGCTCCAATGATGCAGCACCAGCAATTCATGAGACATGAGAGTAGTCAGCAGAACCAAATGGGCATTATCCCAAATCTAGTCCAAAACCAAGCTCCAATGATGTACAACCAGCAGCAGAATTTCATAAGACCTGCTGAGATTATCCCAAACCAATCTCTGATGCTAGTAGACGATCTGGTTGGGTACCTGAAGCAGTATTTGAGTGGTCAAATGTCAACAGTAGTACAAGGTGGACCGTCAGGATCGTTTGGTGTAAATCTGAACTATCACAACCAACAACAGTTTGGATTGGAGATGGATTTCAATCCCCAAACGCAGCCCACAATAATGGAGTCTCAGCTGTTTGACGCTGGACCATCTTCGTACCGTGGTGGGAGAGGTCGATACTAGCACAACTGCAGAAGCCTAAGTAAAACGATTCTTGACATCGATTTTGAACCCTTTTTTCTACTCTCACATGACTGTTCTGTCAAGATCAGCTGAAGCTTTGTGTTTTTTTTTTAATCTTCTTATTCAACTTTTAAGGTCATCTTTTATTAATTAGCTATCGTTTTTGGTTGAAGTACTTGTCTCAATTCTGTAGCAAAATCTCTAAATCTCAATTTGGTCATTTTCTTTGCAGTGATATCATGGTTTTTGTATGTATAAAAGATTAAGACTTTGACGCTGATTAGGTCTTGAATAGACGATTTGTATCTTCTGTCTGAATCAATTTCAATCATTGGATAGCAAAAAGGGTTTTAGGGAATGAAGAAAGTGATAGGACCCTCTCATTAGCGAGGGTGAAGAGACACGTTTTTAGGGTTTAAGGTTTTCAGAGACAGAAACTGAATGTGCCCGTTTCACGTTTAAGAGAGCGTGAGAAAACAAGTCACAATGTATTGGAGATAACTTGGGGAGTAAAATCAAAGTGAAAGCTCCGAGAATATTTCTTCTTTTAACTAACAGGTATTAGATAAACAACTGCAGAAGAAGAAGGCAACAAAGAGAAGAAGTGAAGGAACAAAATCGTGTATCACAAGTAACAAGAAGAATAAAGACTGTGTGCTGGCTCCTACAAGATCAGAAGTAGAAACATGGCTGTCTCTTCCATACCCATATCATCATTATCCAATACGATATCATATTATTCTAAGGTCGAATCAGATGCAGCATCCAGGATTAACAGAGCCTTTAGTTACATTTGTAGGTCAAAACCATTTAAACGAACCCATTGGATGGCATAGTTGGTCTCAGTGAGTTTCCCCAAGTTATTCAGCAGCAACATTGTGGACTTAATCCGGAGAAGAAGATCAATGTTCTTACTTTCAACTAGTGGGGACTGGGGAGTTTCGGTTTTTGTGAATCTTGAATTAGTCTCTGTTTGTATAACTTTTGTTCGTTGAAACCTTCTACTATCAAATGTGTACTCGAATTTTTGAATTTGTTTGTATTAAAAAGTTTATACAACTTGCTCTGTGCTTGTTATAGGATATTCTCACTTGAAACAATTGTAATTACTAATTGAAGTGAGGTCCAATAAACCGGACTTAACCGAACTAATCGGATCCGATTTCGTGATTACTATTTCTTTCTTGAGTATAAAACCATGGAGCCTTTTTTAATTTCTTTCATTTTCTCGTCTTCGTTAATTCTTCTTCTCCCTCTCTTTCTCTATTTTTCTTCTCTCGTCTCTCTGCTTCGTCTCTCATTCTCTCCTTCGTCTCTCTCTGTATTGACATGGATGATAACCCGAACTCCACTCTTTCCATTCTTGGTGGCATAAATTTTGATCCAGAAGAAGATGATGGGTTACTTCAGGTGTTAAGAGATTCTTTAACTCTTCTTCCGTTCTAGGTTGCTTGATCAGCAAGAAACTAATATATGCTTATTAAATACTTGTAGGATCCTCCTCCCATTCAAAGGCCAATTGTCTCTGTTGTGTCGGATTCTTCTTCCGCCATTAATGAAGCCAACAAGAAAACAGATTCTCCATCTTCAAGAAACGGTGAAAGTAGTGAAACCAGAGAGTTAAAAACAGTAGCTGAAGAAGACGACCATAATGATGGATATGATCCCAAGGTAAAGATACGAATTTGCAAGTATATAAGACGTTTAATACGATCTGGGTTTATCTCCAGTAATCAGAGTTTATACGCTTAGTTTTTAAAGTAGTTAATATTGCTTAATTGTGAAAATTTGGTAATCACGCTATGCCTCCTGCTGAACCTGAATCATTGTTAATATCCACTGGGTCGTGTAGATGGCTTGAATGTTACATTTTTTTTAAACCTAACTGGATTGTAATATGCAGGTTGATAGGGGAAAGAGAAAGCTTATGGGTGAAGAAGAAACAAGCTACTCAAGAAAGAAGAAGGCATTTTCAAACATAGTTTCTGGAATGCAGTATCAAGCTTCTGCAGAGGAATCAAGACACTTGCAGCAATATCTGGGTGGTCCTAGTTCAGCAGCTCCAGTGCAGCGGCTTAATGCTCGACAAGAAGGAACGTTTTCTCAAGCTTATGATGACCAGCATAGACCATGGCTTAATCCGAGATACAATCACTGTGATAGGGCACAAAGATCGATCTCGTCCACAGCTCCAGTGCTGCAGCCAGTACCAATATATCAGCCTTCACATCACAATCAGAATCCAAGGCTTAATCAGATTGTTAGGAGTGGTCCAACGATGAACCTGCAGCAGCAACTCAGAGGACCAAACCATGGATCAACATCGTCTACAAGTGATGGAAACATTTTCAGGGAACCTATTGGTATGGAGCGACAACGTTTTCTAGATGCAGCACCTCAGAACACATATCAGCAGCTTTCAGTGACTAACCAGATTCAAGGGCATGCATTAGTACATCACAACTATGAACCATGGAGACTTCAGAACATATATCCTCAGCATCCATCAGCTTACCAGATGACCAATCCAATGCCAGGGCAAATGAGGCCAATGCAGCATTCGATGATGTACTCGTATCAGCATCCAGTGGCTAACCCACAGAACTTATATCAACATCCAGTGGCTTACACGCAGGCTGAGCAGAATCAAATTCAACAAATGCTGCAACTTGCGCCTCAAACGCAACAGCCAACGCAGTCTCAAGGTTTTAACGCTGGACCATCTTCTGAACAAGGTCAAGATCAGCAGCAGCCTAGGTAAAACGACTCTTGACATGGTTTTCAAGTTTATCTTTTAGCTAAAACTCTCTTGGGGTTATTTTGGTAACTGTAAATAAACTGGTGATGGTGACTGTTTAGCATTGAAAAAATCTGAACAAGCAAGAGTAATACCAAAGTTTTCTTCATTATGAAGTCCTAAACAAATGGTTTCAATTTCGATACTTAAAGTTCACTCTTGACTCTACTAGTCTTAAAGATCTCTTTTTTAGAATGCCCCATTTTGTGAAATTTCTTAAAGATTCAGAAACGTTGAAGCCATTCGTTTAATGAGATGAAAATGGGAATCTTTTAACTTCACAAAGATCTGATTTTCAAACAAACCCATCAATAACCAAAACCCATCAAAGTCTATAAGATTCAATCTTCAAAACAAAACATAGAATCTATGGTTTCAATACACAAGATGCGATCAAAGAAGGAGGAATTAGGTAGTCGCTTACCTCGGGATAATCGTTTAGGTCATCAAATCGTTTCTCATCTCCAAATTTCTCTACCTTTCACTTTCAGTGGAAATTTCACTCTAGTCGTTTAAAAGACTCTCTTTTTACAATGCCCACTTTGTGTAAAACCGAATGAGAATCAAAGAAATATCGAACAGCAACACGCAGAATCAGAAGAAAACAGAGCTGAGAGAACCGCGAGAGAGAGAGCTGAGAGGTGACGACGGAGTTGTTGTTCTGTTGTATCGTTTGCTGTCACATAGATTTCTGCATTGGTCTAATATTATCTTGTGCAGCAATTTTTCTTTTTCCAAGGACTTGTTCTGATTAAACTCTATGCATTTCTTCGTTCTCAGTTTGGTTTCGGTTAAGTCATTACATTGTAGTTGATGCATTGGTTTTTTGATGCTCTCATCAACTTTATAAGTAAGCTGGCTATTGGGAGTTTGTAATTTTCATTTAATTTTCCCCAATTTCTGCTGCAAAATCTCTACTGGGTTCTTGAGTTTCTGAATTTCTGTCAACCCTTTAATTGGTTTTGGTCAGTCTCTTAGTAATGTCCTGTGTTTATTTGTACAAAAAAGATCAAGACTTTGATGCTGGTTAGGGGTTGAAGAGACAATTTTTGGATATACTATCTGACATTTTTGTCACCTGTCTTGAATCAATATGATTCATTGGATGGGAAAAAGGGTTTTTAGGTAATGAGGATAGTGTCTAGGACTAGCTGGTGTGAATCAGTGACCCATTAGCAACGGTGAAGATACACGTTTAGGGTTTAGGGGTTTCAGTTTTCAGAGATGGAAAATGGAATCAAATGATTACTTGGTAGAATCATATTTGAAAAGGTCTTGAATTGAAGGATGTTCAGTTCTCGTCACAACAACAAGAACAACAACAACAAAGGGGAACTAAAACAAAGACATAAAAAGAAGCATAACCTTAGGATGAGGCTTAAGTTGATTTTGCAGCAAAAAAAGTGACTTTTTGTGTCTTGTGGTTTTGGTTGTTAATTTACTTAAAGAGAAGAAGATCAATGTTCTTACTTTCAATTAGTGAGGACTGGGAGTTTCAGTTTTTGTGAATCTTGAATTAGTCTCTGTTTGTATAACCTTTGTTCGTTGAAAACCTCTACTGTAAAATGGTGTATGTTTTTACTCGAATCTTTGAATTTGTTTGTATTCAAAAAGTTTATAGAACTTGCTCTGTGTTTGTATTTTCCTTGATTCTGTGAATTTGTGCTTGTTATAGGATATTCACTTGAAACAAGTGTAATTACTAACTGAAGTGAGGTCCAATAAACCGGCCTTAACCGAACCAAACGGATTCGATTTTGTGATTACTAATTAACCAGACTTAACCGAACCAAACGGATCAAAGATATTGTGTGTTTATAATTTCCTTCTCGAGTATAAATATAAATTAAGCTTTTATGATTTCTATCATGAAATCTAATTCCCAAGATCATCTAGATTCAATTTAATTCAACCACAAACACTTTCTTGTAGAAGAAGAAAGACTAACCTTGATCCATTGCTTAATTAGGCTTGTAATGGAATCAATTCACCAATTGATTTCTCCTCCCTTTGACCTTTTACTTCAATCGATTCCTCTAATGGAGAAGGAATCTAAAACCTTCTTATCTTTCTCTCCGTTCCAGCACCGGTTAATATGGTGTACGTTTACTTCTTATATGTGACCAATAGTCACCAATGAACCCACGTAACCACCACTTAAATTAACCCACACTTAATAATACATATATATATAATGACGTTCATGTAATTAACATAATAATATATTAATTACTTTTCATTATATATATGAATACATGAGAAAGATAATAATTAAAATATAATGGTAAGGGAGGAGGGTTATCAACACACCCGAATTCTAATTCTTTAATCGAAACCGATCCATCACGGTGTCGTCTTTAATATTAGAATCCTTAACATTAGTATGAACTTGAACTTTACGATTAAACCGAAATACACATAGGCCACATAGAATAAAATATTCTTACATTCTCCCACTTGGCCTTTGTGTCAAGTTAATGGTTTAATAACTTTAATGCGCGCTTTAACATCAAGTTCATTAGATCTTTAATTACTTAAATTAAAATTAAAATTGATTGAATCATGGCGGTTACACATCATTGAAGCGACATGCTCCCTTCCATGTATCACAAACCAATTCTAACTTTATTATTTCCTTACAATGAGAGAAACCTTAATTCTCAAAATAACTATATGTTATCCATAAACCTTAAGTGTATACACATACTTTAATGATAACATACTTAATAAATCCAGAAACGTTACTTTAAGTGAATTCATAGTATCATACATAAAACGAGCATACTACAATCAATATAGCAAGGCTTTGTCTATAATCCCCATACGCTCTACATGGCCAATGAACGCCTTGGGTGGTAGACCTTTAGTTAACGGATCTGCAACCATCATGTCCGTCCTAATATGCTCAAATGAAACTCTACGTTTCTGCACTTCTTCTTTTACGGACAAGTACTTTAACTCCATGTGTTTAGCACCCTTCGAGTACTTGTCATTCTTAGAGAAGAATACAGCTGCGGAATTATCACAATAAATTCTCAGCGGCTTCTCTATGGAGTCGACAATCCGAAGTCCTGAGATAAAGTTCCGCAACCACAATGCGTGAATTGTGGCCTCAAAGCATGCCACAAATTCGGCCTCCATAGTGGAAGTAGCAATGACAGACTGCTTCCCACTTTTCCAAGATACTGCTCCCCCTGCTAATAGGAACAAGTAGCCAAACGTCGATTTCCTGCTATCGACGCATCCAGCATAGTCTGAATCTGAATATCCAATAACCTCAAGGTTATCGGACCTCCTGTATGTAAGCATGAGCTCTTTGGTGCCTTGCAAGTACCTGAGAACTTTCTTTGCAGCTTTCCAGTGATCCATTCCGGATTACTTTGATATCGACCCAACATACCAACCGCAAAGCTGATATCTGGTCGAGTACATGTCTGAACATAGTTCAAACTCCCAACCACTGATGCATAGGGAATTCTTTCCATTTCCTTACGCTCCAATTCATTTCTTGGACATTGCATTTTACTGAACTTGTCCCCTTTCTGAATTGGTGCTTTTCCAGCAGAGCATTCATCCATTCTATATCTCTCTAAGATCTTTTTGATGTATCCTTTCTGAGACAAACTTAACAGTCCTTGTGATCTATCTCGAATAATTTCTATTCCGATCACATAAGATGCCTCACCCATATCTTTCATTTCAAAGTTCTTAGAGAGATATTTCTTTATATCATGTAACATACCCATGTCATTAGCAGCGAGCAAAATATCATCAACATATAGAACTAAAATTACAAATTTGCTCCCACTGACCTTAATGTAGATGCATCGATCAACGATGACCTCTACAAATCCATATGACGTAATGGTATCATTAAACTTTAAATACCATTGTCGGGAAGCTTGTTTTAGTCCATATATCGACTTTTTCAGCTTACACACCAAATGTTCATTTCCTGTGGCCACAAACCCTTCAGGTTGGTCCATATATACTTCCTCTTCAAGCTCTCCATTTAGAAAGGCGGTTTTCACATCCATTTGGTGAAGCTCAAGATCATAATGAGCCACCAAACCCAAAACAATTCTAAGAGAATCCTTCTTTGAAACTGGAGAGAAGGTCTCTTTATAGTCAATACCATCCTTTTGGGTGAAACCTTTAGCAACAAGGCGAGCCTTGTATCTTTCAATGTTACCTTTCGAGTCGCGCTTAGTCTTAAAGACCCATTTAGAACCAACGGTCTTGAAACCGTTAGGCAACTCTACTAAGTCCCAAACATCGTTATCACCCATAGATTTTATTTCTTCTTTTGCGGCAATTGACCATTTTTCAGAATTGTCACTTTCCATGGCTTTTCGGAATGTGATCGGGTCTTCATCAAGGCTTATGTCACATTCACTTTCAATAGCGTAAACCACATAGTCATTTGAAATGGCAGATCTTCTTTCCCTTCCAGATCGCCTTAATGGTTCTTGTGGTACACTATTATTCTCTTCTTGAATAGTGACAGGTTCATTAATTGTCCCTTCATCTAGTGGGATTGGTACATCATCATGTTGTTCTATTGTGTCATTTGACTGTACCGAAACAATAGGAACAACGACCTTAGATGGAACATCAGGTGAAGAAACTTCAACCTGAATTTCTTGAATGTCCACCTTTCTTGATTCACCACTCCCACTAGTTTGACCGTTCTCAATGAACCTAGCATTCCCCGTTTCAACTATTCTCGTACTATGGTTAGGGCAATAAAATGTATACCCCTTTGATTTTTCAGGATAGCCAATGAAGAATCCACTGACAGTCCTAGAATCAAGTTTCTTTTCATGTGGGTTATATGACTTTACTTCTGCTGGACATCCCCAAACACGTAAATGTCTTAAACTAGGTTTCCTTCCCGTCCACAGTTCAAAAGGAGTCTTAGGAACTGCCTTACTAGGAACCCGGTTTAAGACATACGTTGCAGTCTTTAATGCATATATCCACAATGAAAGGGGTAAAGAACTATTACTTAACATGCTCCTAACCATATCCATTAATGTACGATTCCGCCTCTCAGCTACACCATTCTGCTGAGGAGTACCAGGCATTGTATATTGAGCACAAATGCCTCTACTCTCTAGTAGCTTTGCAAATGGACCTGGA